AAGAGCTGTGGTCCCACAAGCCACAATCAAAAACCTGATCCACTCAGAATGCAGAGTTTTATTGCTTAAAGTTGAATCCATGTAAAAATCGAAGCAAAAACAAGTGACACATTTAGACTTTGTTCAATGTATTGTCTATTGAATAATGTAATTATTATAGTTCATAATTTTGGTGATAAAATAAATGTTTTTCATTTGTATAGAAGTCCTAATAAAAAAGGAACGCAAGATGGTCAAAATGAGCAAATTTAGTTTATTTTAATATATTTTTATCAGATTGCCCAGCCCTACAGACGTTTATTCGCAAACCTCTTAAAACATTACATCTGACAAAAAACTAAATATTTGTGTGGTATATTATTATATATATTCAGAGTAAAGATAAAAGGGTAAACGGAGGAGTTTTAGAAGACAAGACAGAGATGCTTCGCTCAATATTATCAAGGTAGTCTTTAATTTGAATGCACCTCATATTACACAGTAAACTAAAAGACTCAAAGAAAGACAATTTTCAGCCCTTTTTTGGGTTTACAATTTGATTCATTTATGAGCACAACTCAAGGGGTCTGGTCCACTGGTGCAGATATGGATACAACTCCTGTAGCGAGAGGCTCAAATTGGTCAGAGAGACGAATCGATTGCCCCAGGAACCAATGGAGAGAATGATGGGTATCCAAGAACTAAATTTCATTACAAACTCTTGACAATGATTCATGATGGAAAAAGTCATAGGATAAGAAACTGTGTAGTAAAAGCTTGGTCACACATGTGAGTGTAGCATATTAACAGTATTTGTTAATTTCAGAATATAAGGTTTTCACAATAATCTGCCAAAATTGCCACCGTAAGATTTTAGAGCTATGTTCTCTTGAGTGTTATCATAATTAATAGTAGGCTTGGGAAAATTAGTGCGTTAACAATTTGCGTTAATTTTCATTAATCTATTAACGCCCCTAATTAATAGTAACAGGTTCAAGTTTGTTTTATAGTTCCGATTGTTTTTTTTAATCTGGACAATAAACTTTGATCAATTAACAGCTCATTTCAACTTCCTTAAGAGCTACTGGTTTTCTATGATTGCTGAGGAAGGACAAACTTGCCATTTGAAATAGGACAATTAGTTTCATCATGAAGGCACAATGATTACCCAAAAAGTCATCCTAAGACTTTATCACTTCCCAGCCCGATGAGTTAAGAAGGGAATTCACCTCGTCTCAACCTCTGCATTGATTTCTGAGCGAGTGGGAGATCTGGGGATTACTTTGGAGAACAGCAATGAAGACCCAGCTTATTGAGTTTTTTTGTATTTGGCAAATGGGCTTGACAAAGATGGAGGAGACAAAATCTAGGGCTTATGTACGTGGCACCCAATCGGGGGTAACTTGAAAGCGGCGCTGTGATGGGAAGCCAGGAGAGAGGGCACCTCATTTAGGGAGTTGAATTTTGGACAGGGGGGAAAAGCATGGGGAAACTGCTTAAAGTAAATCGCAGAAGGCCCCAGCAATCGTCAGGAATTGAGACGTTTTTAAACCTTTAACGGGGGACTGTGATCAAAGCGTCCGCCGATCCTCGCTCGAGTGCGGAGAGCGGAACTGGAGGGAACAGAGGGGATTGTGGGGGATCACGGCAGGTTGAAAACGTAAAATCAGCACATTAGCTTTATAAGGGCGTCAGAATATAGGATGATCGGGGGGATCAGAGCACCCATAGGGACCCTCTGAGAATGTGTGTACCACGCTGATGGGAGAAAAAACCAGGCCACTGCTGACGGTGGAGCCTGCCTTATCAAACATGCAACTAAAGAGGGAATAATGTTGCCCAATTCCCAGAGAAAGCACTTCATAGACACGTTTGGATAAGAAACTGTAACACTCTCTTATGTCGCCATGTACTTACAAATGAACAGACTTCTTTTGAGAGCAAACTTTGGGAAAACTTTTCTGAAAGTTTCTGATTAATCATTGCTGGAACAAAGTTACTAAGTTGTTTAACCAGGCCTACATAAGAGTTATTAAGAATTAAGTTTAAAAAAAGCTGTGAGCAGAGAAAATTAGTTAAGGTCTATTCAAGTGCCTTCACATACTCACAAGTGACAGTCAATATAACATAGTTCTTGGAGGCTAGCATTACATAATATAGAAAGCATTTAGTACAATTTTTAGCTATGAGCTTTGAAATTACTTCTAAGCTCATTGCTACACTACACCTACAGTATAGTTAGACAATCAGAATGAATAAATCTTCTCTGACCTCGTGTCACCTATGAACCAGTGCAAAAACACAAATATTGGCTCACCTCGTCTGCTTATTCAGAGCCGCACTAGCCTTGGGTATGGCAGGGGATCTTGCACTGCTGAATTATAAATCAAAGAGCATGGCCGGCTAATTACGTGTTCACTGCTTTTTATTCTGGATCATGTCACTTGATGGACCTTCTGATCATTGGAGAGCAGAGGAAGGGAGCAGGACTAGCTTTGGGGATGGTTGTATCTAAATGACTGAGTGAAGCTTACAGCAATACAGTATTTTCCCGGTGATTAGCAGAGGGTATTGATGTGAAACACCCACTACTTAATCTGCACTCTGTCCGTGACTCAGATTTGCAATTTCAAGGGGCAAAAAAGAAGCATTGCTGAAACTTTTCTTGTTTGAGTGAGATTTTTTATACATTTATCATTTTAACGTTTTTTCTCAAGAAAACAACCACGTCATGTATTTTTTCTACAAAAATGTAATTGTTATAAATAAATAAAAAAAATACATTTGTAAATCTGTTGACAGTACTCATTCATCTTTTGTTATATAAAGAATATCCAAACCCATATTCAATTAAAGTTGAAAATATCTCTGTCTAAATATCTAATGTCATAAACTCTTCTCTGACAACAGCCCTACTCTACCACAATAAAAATACATACATCGGCCAGATCGCTAAATAAGATGCAGGATTCTATGGACTAGAAAAAGTAGCAGCTTATTGTCCACAAATTAGAGTTTATTTTGTTTCAGATTACTCACTATGGCAACAGTCCTCTTTTAATCATTCTGAGACCTATGAAGAGAGAAGAGACAATGAGTCAAAATTCAGATGAGTCACAAATCTAAAATTGAGTCAACATTTATATTACTTCATATTCACTTCAATTCCATTCAATTCAATTTGTTTTTCTATAGTCCTTGCTTTACTCGGAGGACTTTACAAAGTTGTCGATTCGCACTACACAGATCAGAGAATCAATTCAGTTCAAACACAGCAAAGGCAATGATAAAACACATACAGCCATTGGTTCATAAGAGGCAGATGACCAATGTCCATAAATGTTGTTGAATCATGATCAAACATCATTGATCATGTCTTTAGACCCTCCTGCATCAGCAAAGAACATCTCAACAAAACAAAAAAAAACAGTGGGGAGAAGAGTGAGAAAAAAGCGATAAACCTCGAGGGACGGGTATAGATCCTGTTCTATACAGTTGTTCTGATGTCAATCACAATGTGTGATTGTGGAGCATATATTAACTTAGCACCCTCAAGGCAGAGGCTACTTGAATAGATAATCATTTACTTAGACTAAAATTATACAAAGTCAGTAATAGTACCGGCCTCATGAATCAGTGTGTCCCTCATATAAGTTTCCACAAAAAGAACGTTAGCGCCCCATCCTTTAAACCAGGTCCATGCAGCTGCAGATATTTTTACCTCTGAAATCCCAACTCTCCAGCATATTTGTGACTCGCTCATCCCCTCCGCGTCCTCTGAGTGTCATTCTCCACCCCCTGTCCGTGAGCACCGCCAATTTATCACCCACCAAACCAGGGCCTTCACTTGGACCTGTTGTAAAGCCAGGAGTCCTAATGAAAGGAACTGCTGTCCCGGCCTGGTCCAGGGAGACTTTAGGGGCCAAAAAGTCCTGCTACACTCCCAACATGGGAGGTAATTACCCCTCTGGTGGACCAGCGAGTGGAGCCTGCCGGCCAACAGTTTGAAATAGCATGCTAGATAATATTGTCTTCTAACATTGTTTGCCAATAGATTAAACACATGCAATGAAGATATGACAAGCATAGTTGTACATGACAAGTACCGAACAGCGCACTAGAACATGTCAAAGTGGAAGTGGGTTTGAGGTGTTCCTGCGTCTGGAATACACTCAAGTAGTCATTCTTGACGAGTGTTGACGAGTCTAAATGTCCACAAACCATATACAAATCTGCTGTTTAGCGATGACTAACACAACTAAAGATCACGGAATGCCTCTGCAGTTTAGTATACCTAAAGCTGAAAAAAATAGACAACAACAACCATTCATTAATAGGGCAACTCATGCACACACTTCCAAATGAAAAACCTTGCATTGACCCAGTGGTTATAAGGGCGGGCAGCAGGGCACCTTACTTATATTTGTGTTGTGTTTACAGTGCTCCAGGATCAATTGTTTTGGAGGTTTTCTGGTGCAGGGGTCCAAAAACACCTTCCAAACAATTGATCCTGGAGCCTCCTAGAGACCACTGTCCATGGAAAGCAAGGGCACCATGCTGACCACTCATACTGCGTCACAAGGTTGATTAGTTAAATTATTAAAAAATGTATATATAAAAAAAAAAGTTGCATTATGACCTTTTGAAAATGAAATTAACTTGAGAGTGTATAACGGTATTGCATAGAGTTTGCAGTTGATACATATATATTTAGAACATTATAACAAAGAGACATCTCACTTTGCGTGTAGTGAGTCTTTTTCTTCACACATTGTTAGACTTTTGAACGAGTTTCACCCATATTGTACAATCAGACTTGAATTAGAACAAAACTGTTAACTCAATGGTGTACCTAGAATTATTTCCATCTATATATGGGCTCCTAGCAGAAGAGCTGGAGCCTGGGGTCACTCGGCATGCCTTGGCCCGGGTCGTCACAATTGGCCAGAGAACAGGGAGGACTGTGCCAAAGTCAAGGCTTCGGGAGGGGGCGGGGCTTTGACAGGAAGAGGAATGGACTGTCAAGAGGAGATAAATAACGAGGGGTGAGGCGGGCAGCAGGTGACCCACGACGGGGCAGCCTCGTCGGGACAAGTGACCGTGTGACCTCTGGACCAGATCTGACCGGGGCCACCCACTGGTCACCCGCGTACACTGTCACCTCACAGGAGAGGCCAGACCTGCTTTAGTGCGTGATGGACAGCCCTGTGGTTCATAATGTGTGTGCTGATGGGCTGTGGCCAGAGCAGGAGCACCAGGTCATAAAATAAGAACACTTTCTTATTTTATACCTTGACCTATTTTCCACTGAGATCTTTATAAGCGGCAAAAGGACATTTAATGCCACGGTGCATGGATGTGGGAATAAAACCTCTTAAGATTGCGATTAGTGAAATGGTTCAGATCTCTTAACCAAGGTTTACAGACAACTAAAATGTCATATCATCAAACGTAAGCAACATACACTGATATTATTATGATTAATGATGTTGTACTTTTTGGAATTACACATTTGTCATGGAAACAAACAAGAGGAGGTGATACAAGTTATTGGTAGAATAAAGGTGAGCCAATTCAATATTTAAATACATTTTCCTCAAGTATTTTTGAGCACATTCAATAACAAGTTACAAAATGCACATTTAAATGATGCCATACTTTAAAAAACTTGTAATACACCAATACAATAAAGTAGGACATGTTTTGCCAAGCTAATACCAGCACTGCTTTAGGTGCACCAGACATTTAAGATATATTCACAGTTAAAATAGTTTGCATTAATTTTACAATATTAATCAACTTTTTATTTCTTAAATAAATACCTACTATAAACTACTACTATGTTTGCTAGCTTGTTTGTTTTTTACTTATTTGATGATACATACAAGTCTATCAATAGACTGTAAATTACAGGTGCATGTTTTGGGTGCACTCTGGAGCCATGCAACAATGAGTATAGCGCCTCAAGAATACTCTATACACTAGTCTTGGAAACAGGGTTAGACTTGGACTTGGAGCGACTGTGGGGGATACCAGGTACAGAGTATAGTGCACTATGTCCAGAGACACTACCTCCACTCTCCCAGTATGAATGTGAAGTGCTCATGGGAATGCTGAAGAATGGCATCCTTTCATTCACAAAAGCCTTCAGAAAATATGAGTTAACTCTTTTTCCTGATAATGGTGGGCAAGTGTTCAACGTAGTGTGTGGCCTATAGTGTGACCCTGCTTCCAAAGTGCTGCCAGTGCAATCCTGAGGTGAGTGTTACAGATGAGTGCTGGGACAGCAGTACGTGTGCCAGGCAGCTCTGGCATGTGCCAGCCTCATGCAGAATCCAAACCAGTGGGGTGGGATGTAGCGCTACAACCCTCTGCCCTATGCTCCAACGGCATAATTAATATGTTGTTTTATCAAAGTTGAAGCATTTGCCTCTGAAATGTCCCAAACCCAGCCCCTTATAAGAGCTGACCTCCAAGCAGCTGAAGGTTGCTCTACAAACTTGGCATGCCCCGAGTGAAAACATCTGCTTTCCTCCCAGGCAGGATGGCCACCGCCCCCACACCTCAGCTGGCACCCCTGGCCCAGAGAGAGAGCCCTTAGCCTGTCCTCAGCTCCGACTCACACATTTATGACTGAAGAGCAGACCCCTCCCTCCCTCTACTGAGTGTGGTCACTGTGCTGCTGTCTTGTTCTTCCACGTCAGGCCTGATGACCAGGAACCTCAGGAGGAGGAGGTTGTCCAGCGATGGAACACTGACAGAAGCATCTGTCATCCACTTCCTCACACTGTGACCTGCTGTCCAGGGCTGGACCTGTGCCCCCACATGACACACTGTGTACAAAAGACCACTTCGGAGAGGTCATGGGCATCTTTCAACTTCTACCGTCTCTATAAGATATTTCTATAAATAACTTTGACTGGTTACTGGTAGTAATGAGGTAGTAAAAAGTCAAATCCACATTGTTATTTTGGATGAGTTGTACCATTAGTAATTATATTATCTAAAATCAATTATATCAGGATACAGTATTTCTACAGTAACCAAGACGAACATATGACACCAACCCTGTGTCCAAGGCACATTTCCAACAAGGCACATTTTGAGCACATTTCTCTGGTGTTAATGAATGCACTGACCTGACTTGGGAGCACTTTATCATCCTCCAGTGGCTGCCCCGTCCATCGCTGAAGCTGCTGAAGTGTTGCCAGGAGTAAGAGGAAAGATGCCAATCCCTGTGCACATATGACACACACATAAGAACACACACACGGAAGCTCAAGGACACCATCACTCATTCAGGCCTCAGAAGGTGCCTTTGACGTGGTCCACACAGGCCCAGGCCCCAACTTTACACTGCTCCAAGTTTACCATAAAGAATGGTATTTTTGGTTATTTTTTTCTATTTATTATATTATTACAGGATGTGTCACATATTCAGAATAAAGTACGTTCTTCAGTTTCTGTCGATATTCAAGACACATTGGGAAATAAACAAACATGTGTCACAATCGATTATAGTGTCAGAATATTTTGTCATGCTTATATTGAGTTTTGGTTTCCTGGTATATTTGGCTTACATACTCACGTATTTAAAGAGCTGTTGTATTGTTTTTCTCATTCAAAGGAAGACATTTCTTGTATCTTTTTAAAACAAGGTAAGTTTTTTTACTCCAAAGTTTATCTTTAAAAGAGTTTATTATTATAAAATTGTCTACTCAAGCTTGACACTACCTAAGTATTGATATTGTAATGAATCACAAAGAATTGTATCAACCCTGTGTATTAGGCATACATGGACAGAAAAACATCATAGAGTTTGTGGAATGATAGAATTATAACTAGGGGTCAACCGATTTATTGGGTTGCCAATTATATCAGCAGTTCTTGAAGTCGAGATTAGGAGTCATTGGTACATACGGAGCAAGACAACCACTGTTCATAAATGTCCTTAAATGTCCAGGATCATCACTGTCCTTAGACCCTCCTGCATTGGCAAAGAACAACAACAACAAAAACAACACTGGGGAAAAAGACCTATATTGAGAGAGGGGTCTTCACCCACAGACAGTGAGGCTACAACTACTTTTTAAAGCACAGAAGCTCTAAAATTCAGTCTACAAAACGGTACTTATTTTTGACCAAAAAAAACACATTGCTTGGCCCCTAATTCATTTCCTGATTTGATTTGCACAAATAGTGGCCAAAAAGAGCTCTGTCAATTTTTCCAGGAATCCATCCTGACTGTATTGATTTTGTAGCATCTTAAAAAGCTCTGTATCCCTCAAAGCCTTGTAGATTTAGCCTATTTACTCCAAAACTTTGCGTATCCTTTGATGTCCCCGCCATGGCCAGGATGTAGCAGTAATCATACATAAGTAGCCTCTCACAGCAGGGGAGCAGGACACAGAGACAAGACTTAACAAATGAGTGAGGAGAACCATAACAGGAGTGTGTCCCGGGGAGACAGAGTGAGGCGGGATGTTCTGCCAACACTTCGTCTGCCGGGGTCGACCCTGTGGGCTCCCGGTAGCTGTACCTAAGCCGGAACCCCACCAAGCTGGCACAAGTCCAACCCCGAGATCTCTCACCCGGCAGGCTGGGCAGGGGGCCGTGCAGCACCTCTGGCGGTTATTTCTGGATGTGCCCCTCTCCTTTTGTCTCATCGCTCTGAACCGTGCTGCTCCCCGAAGCCCCCGTGTGGGACCCTGTGGCTGATGAGGCTGTCCTTCAACAATCAGCGTCTTCCACTGGCTCTAAACAGACACACACACACACACACACACACACAACATACACAAAGCATTCAGGCCAGTGTATGGAGAAGGTTACACTGGAACAGAAAAAACAGGCCTGTGAGAGAGGAGGAGCAGAGGAGGCAGTAGTAGTTTTAACTACTCTAGTAAAAGTAAAGGTATCAAAGTGAATCCCCAAGTAAGGGAAGAGGAGCAGAGGAGAGGAAAAGAGCAGGTCTGTAGAGAAAAGGAGCAGAGGGGGAGAAGAGCAGGTTTGTAAGAGAGGAAGAGCAGATGAGGGAGAAGTAGTTATAGGGAAAGTATTACTCTAGTAATAGGAATAAGGTGTCAAAGTAAATCATCAAGTAAAACTAAAAAAGTATAAGCTTTTATTCTTAAACAATTATCAATTTATCATCTCGTTGTTAAAGTGTTTCATATTGACAACGCTGACCACAATGGATTAATGAATTTAGAAGCATAGCTAATGAAGTGAATGAACTAATTAACTTGGAGGCATCACTTATCCAAAATGAATGCATAAACTTAGAAGCGTGGCGAACCAAAATTAATTAATGAAGTAGAAGCATACTTAACAGAAACAGCAACACAATGTAAAATTAATCTTGTTTTTATAACCACGAGACTTGCATTGTATTGGTATTGTGCAAAAAAGGGCCTTTTTGGCCTATTCTTTCCATAAACAACCTTCATGTTTCAACTCACCAATATCCACTGGCAACTCGACAAACAGGTTTGGTCCTTTTATAATCTTGGAGGTCTCGTGCTAGCTAAAACCAAAACCACGCGCCTTTTCAATTCCTACAGTCTCAACTAGATGGAGACAAAACAAACCACAACGACTGTATTTCCCTGGGCAGTTAAAAAGCATTTGTCTGTTATTTCATATCTACGCTGTATTTACTTTTAATATACGGAATATGGTCAAAACAAACAGAAAAACGTTGAAGTAGGTTAAGATATTTCCTATGCACGCTGAATAACTACCTTCGTTTACATAATAACAAAAAAGATAAAATACAAAATATATACACATACATGTGCACATACATGTGCACATACAGTCTATGGTGCACATATTTTTTTCTTTGCTTAATTGACTGCAATAATAGTTACGGGCACGCGGGGGCAGAATTCCTCTCGCACACCCATAGTTACTGTTGCTACAACAGTCGGCGGACCCCCACTCTCCATCACACAGCACAACAAAACAGCGCTCAACAGGTCCGTTAACGTTTATTTTAGGGGAGAAACATGGCATTTGTTTCCCAGAGAGAGGCGAGTGGGGCCTACACCTTCTCCAGCCGCCCCAGAGCTGTGGAGAACCGCAGCAGATACAGAGAAGCACCCGAGCAGTAAGCACGACTTATTACTGATCATGTGAATCAAGTGCGGTTCCTGTTTATTTGAACTGTTAACCGCTAACAGCTAACGCTAGTTATCGTACGGCCCTCGATGACAATTGAAAATCCTGGTTGCACTTATTCTCTGCACGCTATTACAATACTAACAATGGCACTAAACTTGCATTCATACAATTATAATTGAATACTTGAATTAGGCTATTTCCCTCTAGTTAGCGTTAATCCGAAGGCAGGAGGGAAATATATTAATGCAATTCAAAGTGCATATGACAACATATGTAAAGCTGGGGTACCTAACTTCTCCTACAGAAGAGAGAACAAATCAGAAGACAACAATATGTCTTTATTATTTCTTTTGCAAGGAGCCCTGTGAGTCCTTATTTGACACACTGATTAGCTGTGTGAGTGGCTTTTCTGTTTGAAAAAGTGGATGTAAATTATGACGTAGGCCAAAAAAATACATGCATGTAAAAACTGTTTTGTATGGATTTGATTACATTATTAAATGTTTGAAAGATATATACTCCAGCTTTATAGAAATACATCCACAAGTCTAGTGAAAAGACTCTGAGTCTTTAGTTTGCTCTTGATTGAGCTCAGTGTGGGAGCACATTGCCAGAGCGTTCCATTTACAAGGAGCATCATGGCAGACAGATTTACACTAGGAATGACAAGAAATAAAGGAATCAGAAACACAGAAGGGTGCCAGACCAAGCTTTAGTTCAAGAATAAGGATTGCATTCTGTACCTGAATTTGGAGTCATTTTCTTTCAAAAGTGCAATGAGAAAAAATTCATTGGAGCATTCAGATTCAAACGGGCTTGCCTCAATGCTTTATACAATCTCATAAAGCTTTGTCCACCCAGCTTCTGTGTCTTTTCATTGCAGGACGCAATATGGAAACATCATGTATGACCGGCGTGTGGTCAGAGGAAACACCTACGCCCAGCGCATTCTTCCAACTGTCAGTGCAGATTTGAATACATCCCTGCTTTTCCTTCTAAACTTCCACATAACGTCTCTCTTGCTCACAATGTGAAAGAGTCCATTGAGTGGTATGTATGTGGTATTGAGGAGTCTGTTTTCAGGCCACTCAAGTCGAGCTGGAGGAGATGCAGAGGCAGCAGGAGAAGAGGAATAAATCTTTGGCCCATAGAAGGGCTCAGGAGCAGCTCCGAGTAAGGACTCCCGAGGCTGTGCTGGGCCGGCAGCACATGGAGGTCCAGACTGGTAAACAACACTGCCCTCTGCCATACTAGTTGAAGTAAAGTTTAAGCTCTTTGGGAACCGTTTGGCAGAACTCATACAGGCTACATTTTGACTCAAACTTAAACTTGGGACACAACCGTGTGTGTGTGTGTGTGGCAATAGTCCTATAAGATTTCAACTGGTCAAATGTTTTTGGTTTGTTCGTTTCAGAGCTGTATCTAGAGGAGCTGAGTAACATCGTGCTGGAGAGTGATGTGCAGTGTCAGACTGATGCTTTCTTGGACAAACCAGACACTCCTCTGTTTGTGCCGGCTAAGTCTGGTGTGGACGTGGCCACTCAGATCCAGGAGGGAGAGGTCATTTCACTCACTACTAACTGCCTACATTTGCCTAACCCTTGTTTTTTACCTGTAGATAGATAGATATACTTTATTGATCCCCCGTTGGAGAAATTCAGGTGTCCAGCAGCAGAAATACACCCATCCATATAAACGAACAATAGTAATAACGTGCAGCAGTAAACACCAGGAGGGGTGGTGTAGTTGTTGGGTGGAGCAGGACAGGTTAACGCAGTCTGCTTTGGTTTGGAGTGAAATGCTGAATGCTTAAAGTTTGTGTAAGCTCCCAGTCGTACGGGGATTAGTCTCACCCATCATCTGTACTTCTTAGCAGGGAAAACCTGCAGAGAAAACCTGCAGAAAAGTACATGTGATGGGTGACAAATCTACCTTTGCTATGCTGAATGCATGTTTAGCATGAAGAAAAAAAAAAGCATTCCTCCTGTGGAGTTACGTTTGATCTGCTTGGTTGGGACCGTGCATCCTCTCTGCTGTAAAAGACTGTAAAACACAAAATAACTACAAGGACCTGCTGCCTTTTCCAGCACATTCAAAAGTAATCTGTAATACACTAGGTGATGTTCAATTGCACTTTTTAATCCTTTGGTCTAAGTATTTTACGATGTACAGTATATTATTGCTTTTTATTGCTTCGATTATTGTCTATAGTGGATTAGTAGTAAGTAATCTTTATTTATATACCGCATTTCACAAACCAGAGTCACAAAGCGGTTTACAATTATTATTTTTTGGGAATTTGGTTAAAAAGACCAGGGGCCATATTCCTAAAGATTCTTAGTTGCTCCTAGTGGCCAAATTCTCAGAATATTCTATATTGACGTACTCTTAGAATTTCCCTTAAAAGAGTAGAGTAGATCCTAATTAAGAAATAAGCTATTCCTAAAAAACCCTAGCTCTTAAGAGCTCCTATAAAGTGAGATCTCTTAAGAGTAGAGAGGAGGACGTTTAGCGACTTAAGAGTTCCCTAAGAGGACAAAATGGTGGACGGAAGAGACAGGAGAGATATTCTCCTGTCTCTTCTCTCTCCCTAACCCTAACACTGGATGACAGTGAATCAGTGAAACGCTACAGTTTGGATTGTGCAGGAATCATGTTTGTGGTATGTTTGAAAGTCAACCAACAGGTCTTATTTCACTCGTTTAGTGAGTAGAAATGGTAAAAGTTGAAGTAGAAAAAATGACCAGCATTGCAATTAACATAATACTGTTAATACTGTGCAAGTGGGCCTAAATTTTCACACATTCTGTATGAATGAATGAAAAAATTATTTCGAGCCATGGCAAACAAGAACAAAGAACAACAACAAACAAAACAACAGAATAGAAAAATAAACAATACATGATAATATACAAATATACATATGTTTGGTTTTATTAACAAAAATCCAGCTTAAAAAGGAAGATGTCAGGACTTTAAAATCCCACCCTCTATTTTTTTCTAAATGAACCTAACTTAAATGATGTGGTTGCTACAGCTTAGCTTAGTCTGTGGTATACTTACAGTTATGTAACAGTGACATTATCAATAATATGCACTTGATTTGTACAGTGTATAAATTATATGTTTATATTAATATTGTTTCCTTAATACCTTATGTCTATCAGTATATATCAGCCTTTACTAATCATAACGTCATCATCATCACCATATATCTATATATTATTCATTTTTACAATTTTCTAAATCATGTATATTGCATAATTAAATAGGATTATAAAATATTGTATGTACATTTAGTATTTCATACAATAATTGCTTATGTTATATGTGAGTAGAATTTGATAATGGGTGCTCATGGGAGCAAGCTTTTATTTAGATGGCATGTTATTCATAAAGGGAGTTTTGGCACCACAGATCCTGTGAACAGCAGACCACCCTTTGCTATGTGTCCTTTATTTTAATGATTATGAAAATTGTAGATTCACTCTGAAGGCATCAAAACTATGAATTAACTCATGTGGAATTATGTACATACTAAAAAAAAAGTATGAAACAACTGAAAATATGTCTTATTTTCGAGGTTCTTCAAAGTAGCACCTTTTGCTCTGATTACTGCTTCACACACTCTTGGCATTCTCTTGATGAGCTTCAAGAGGACCTGAAATGGTCTTCCAATAGTCTTGAAGGAGTTCCCACAGATGCTTAGCACTTGTTGGCCCTTTCCCCTTCACTCTGTGGTCCAGCCCTAAAACCATCTGGATTGGGTTCAGTTCCAAAACCATCTTGATTGGGTTCAGGTCCGTACTGTGGAGGCCGGGTCATCTGGCCCAGCACCCACCACTCTCCTTATTGGACAAATAGCCCTTACACAGCCTGGGTGTGAATCTACAGTCGATAGTTATGAAAAGAAAGGACACTCATTGAATGAGAAAGAGTGTCCAAACTTATGGTCTGTACTGTATCTCTTAGGAGCTCTCTGAGAGGACTCTTAGAATCTTTAGGCATACAAACCCAGCTCTATGCTCTCCATCAAATACCTGAGGGCTCATGGGAGTTTGCCCAACCTGTCCACTTAAGCTTTGTGGATTTGGAAGCGTTCAACCTTGTTCTCCAGGGTGTCTTTTGGGGAGGGGGGGGGTTCTCCGGGAGTACAGGGTCCTGCTGAGGGCCGTCCGGTCCCTGTATGACCGGAGCTAGAGCTGTGGCATCGCCGGCAGTAAGTCAGACCTGTTCTCGGTGCATGTTGGCCCTCGCCAATGCTGCCATTTGTTATCGGTTCTGTTCACTGTCTTTATGGACAGAATTTCTGGGCGCAGCCAGGGGCCAGAGGCGGTCCGGTTTGGAGACCACAGGATTTCATCTCTGCTGTTTGCCGACGATATTGTCCTGTTGGCTCCTTGGAACCAGGAACTACAAGCGATTGAAATTTACTTTCTCCGCAGAGTGGCTGTGGCAGTGACATGTTCCACTGCTGTGGAGACACAGCAGTGGAACATGTCACTGAAACTAAAGCAATATTTTGACTAAATTGTGGCCAAAACTACAATCAAAATCAAAAGACTAATACTTTTATCGTTATATGATATTATCATGATTATTTTAATTTTTAAAAGGCAAAATTATAATAAACTAATATTTCTCTTTTTCACTCACCTGTCTGAAAATATGCTATAAAATAAATATATACATGTTTTGAGAGCGAAGTATACTTATTTAGATTTTAGTGTCTTGTCGCACTTTGGATTGCCTGGTGTCTGTGTCCTCATTCCTACGACACACCATCGCTCTCTTTTGTCATTCCCCCACAGCTGTTTGACTTTGACCGGGAGGTCCAGGGCGTCCTGGAGGTGCTGGTGGGAAAGGTGATGGAGCAGTCGCTGCTGGAGGTTATGGAGGAGGAGGAGCTGGCCAGTCTGCGCGCTCAGCAGAGGGCGTTTGAGGAGAGACGAAACGCACAGCTAAACGAAGTCCAGAGGCTCCAGGAACAAGAGAGGAGGCACACAGAGGAGAAGGTCTGCCTGCATGCACACACACACACTTAAGATATAAATCCCAAGTGACTAGTTAGAATGCTCGTTTCACTACATTTAAGATAGTTAATGGCATGTGAGTTGCTGTTCAGATTGACCCCAATTTGCTTCCTGATTGCAGAAAATGTGTTAAAAGTTAATAATGTTCACATAATATGTTTACATATAACAAACTATAACTATTGTGAATTAACTTTAAAATCCCACATGTTTTTAAAAAACATTTTATTACGCAGGGCCTCAGATTTAAATCCCTTTCAAGAGCACTGTGGTCTCCAACTGTAAACTTTTAGACGCTCAAACTAGACATATAACGAGTTACATTTGTAATAGATTGGTGGAAAAAATAAACAGAAAGGCTTGCGAGTAGTGGAGACAAGAAGCTGGGTGGAAGGCAGGAAGTTCAGACCTGAACGCAAGATAAAAAACAGTCCACAAAAACCGCAAAAAGGAAAGTCAAACAAAACAGACTCACAAGCTGACAAATTTCACTGTGACATGGGACAATCTGGCAGAGAATTGGAGTCTGAACCAGAGTGTTAAGGACATGGTGACGAAAGAATAAGATGCAGGTGTGAATCCCTCACAGCAGCAGATGATCCAGCCACGCCTCCTGTCACACACAAGCCACACCCCCTGTCACACACAAGCCACACCCCCTGTCACACACAAGCCACACCCCCTGTCAAACACAAACCACGCCCAGTCGCACCCAAGCCCTTAACAACAGAAAAGTCAAGTTACATAATTACTTGTTTATGCACATTTGCTCACCATTGGCAAATATTGATGGTCATTATAGTTAATGATAATGTTTGAGTACATTCATGGACATTGGTCTCTCCCTATGGACCAATACATGTGTTCTATATTTGTTGTGTCTTAACTTTTGATTCTCTGATCTGTATTGACGATTTCAACGGTTTTGTTAAGTACTCTAAGATGACTACTGCTGTGATTTAGGGCTATACAGGAATACATTGAATTGAATTGAATGGAATGTGGAACAAAAAGTCAAAAACATTAGAATCGTGATACATACACTGTTTTTATCTCTGTAACTAGTAATATACATGTATCTCATTTGTGAGAGAAAAACTTGTTTCCCCCAAAAGCAAAAATGACAGCTTTAGCTATTGCTCTTGTGTTAGGAGCGGAGAATTGCCCAACAGAAGGAAGTCCTGAGGAAAGAAAAAGAAATAGCAGACAAGATCGCAGCTCGGGCGTACACGCGGCAGCACTTGGCCGGCCTGGTCCCCTCGATATTCACCTCTCTGCGCTGTCACGGCTTCTTTGTGGACACAGTACAAACAGGTCTGTGGCTCCAGCTCCTCAAACATTATTTATCTAATCTGTATTTGTATGTATTCTCATTATTGTTGCTAATCTGTAAAATTTTATATTGTGAGCTTTGTTTATTTTACAGATGTTGAAACTAATTTCATGCCATGGCTGATGAATGAAATCCATTCCACGTTGGACAAGAGATTTGCTGCCAGATCTGTGCTCGATAGTAAGTATTCAGGAGTTAAGCTTTGGTTACTGTCATAGCTTAACAAGCTGTTATTAAGTAAAGCTTTTTAATAGTAAGTTAGTAACAGCCAAACTAACATATAATCACCATATGATTCTGTCTACAAAATCTCTAACTCTATACAGAGTTAGAGATTTTGTTTATATAGTATAGCTATTGTTCACTTATCTTGTGCTGTGTGCTCCTCTTTCCTACTGTTATATAACTTGTGATGCAACACTGACATTAATAAAGGATCTCTTAATCTTAATCTTAATTTGTTTTTCAGATATAATACAAGAAGTGGCGCTGAAGTGCTTCCTTTAGAGGAAAATCTTCAAACATCTTTTGGAAAAGATGGACGCGTGCAAATAAAATCCACATAAAAACTTTCTTTTACGTATTTTGGACTCTTTGGTTTTATATAAAGATTTATATATATTCAACTATTTATTCAAGTTTGGATGATATAGTTCTGGCTATAAAATTCCTTCACTCAAGATAGAATTGATAGAGTTGTTATTTCTTGACTACAGTATGTCAGGGTCTGTGTTTGTGTGTGTGTTGCCCCCTGCCCATCTGTGTCCTTGGAACTGGCGGAGTGTCCGCAGTCCTGGTCCTGCCTCTGGTTCAGCTCGCTTCTCACCTGCAGCCCTTCATCCTCATCAGCTTCACCTCAATGTTGGGACCAACATTTCAACATAATTTATTATCGATGAAAACAAAAACTTTAGATAACTCATCTTTATAGGGAGTGTATGTAACTTGCACTCTTTGTGATGGAATATAGTTATTACAATTACAATCACAATTTTGTTGTCAGAATCGTCCTGCCTTTGACACATGTAGCTACTAAACTCCTGAATATAAGCTAGCTAGGGCCAAATTCCTTATATGGGCCTTTGTTCCCTCTTAACAGGGGAAGACATTAGTTTTTACAGTCTATGGGGAAGACTTGTTGCTAACATGGTCACTAATGCAGGCAGGAGTTTCCCCCTCAAATGAAGGTGTCTGATTGGGCAATCCTTATGGCTTATATGAGGATCAGACATTATCGAAATATTAACACCAGGATCAATAGAGCGCTAAACCACAGATTTTTTGGCCAAAATGTTGAGTGTGACACAAACAGTTACTGAGCTAGAGGAGTTTACTTTTCAGTGGAAGTCAATACGAGCAGTGATGGACTAGGACAATAAAACTACCTGGGCATTTTTGCCTCCTTGACAGCCTAGGCATATTTTTCCGTCAAGGAGACATGCACACATGTGTGCAAAATGTGTGAAAAAATGTGCAAAAATGCACACAAAAAACATTTCATATTTATCCCACGTACTATATTTTTCACTGTTATTTATATGGTATGCAGAAGCACATACTTTAGAGACTGTATGTAGTTTGAACAATTAAAATAAAGTGCAATAGTCTACATTACAAGAGAGTAATAAACATGTCAGTACTCAGAGTGAGGGAGATGGCCACAGTACCAATTCATTTCAATTAAACTTTATTCATAGAGCACTTTAAAAACAACACAGTTGACCAGAGTGCTGAACACAAGTCTAAAAACACAACATAATATAGAAACAAATACAAGATTACACATTGCACAGAAAGTCAATCCACCGAGTTAAAAGCCAAAGATGATGCACTGCAGTCCCAGAGGATGTGGAATCCCGTTCGAGTACATACAGCAAACAACAGCAAGTGCCCTACGGCCACGGGCGCCCCCCTCGAACATTTCTTAATGGATTTACAGTTTAATTTTTTGTATGAGGCAAGCAGACCGGCCCAAATGGGAATCAGCCCTTCGGACATTGCCCAATATACCTGATGGACAGTCTAGCCCCTGATTAGGAGCCAGAGTGAGTTGGAGCAAGACTTCATCCATGAGCACTTCCCTTATGGGCTTCATTAAGCACGGGGTTAGCTTTGTTTATCTGTTGCAGTTATGTTACTACACCTGCAGGAGTTTAGTTAGAAACAGAGCCAACTCTGTGTATTTACATATGACTACTTTTTGTACCTAATTTATTTTGGTACAAATGGTGCGCCAAAGAGAGCCATAACTACTTAAATGTCACACAAAAACTGGCAATAGACTCATTCTACTCATTGGTTGAATAATCTCTTTGATAATAAATACTAATTACAGCCATTTGTATTTTCAATTAAAAAATATTCTATCCAACTTTTGCTCAAGTTCAAATATGATTTGTACATGTTGACCTATTATATAAACACACATATAAAAGAGGAAGATGTAATTCAAAATGAAAATGTAATATCTTGTCCCCGCTTGTCCCTTTAAATCTTGAATTTGGAGCAAAGGTTCTGTTTTGTTCTTGTACGCATGCGTTGAAGTTGACGCCCACTTTTACAGAAGAATCCATTTGGTTAAAATACATAAATATGGGGACTCGGGTCTTTGTCCTCCGGTGTCCTTTGGCTTTTATTAAACACGCATGGTCCCTTCATCTGCAGCAGGTTACAGATAAGCCAGTGCCTCTGCCCTCTGCCCTCTGCCCACACGGTGGTCATGTAAAAAGCAGCTCCCCCATGTTCAGTGCGTGATGGTGTGGTCCTGCGCGGGAGCGGAAAGCGTGCAGCAGCAGCAGCAGCAGAGACAGGGGCTGAGCTGTGTTTTCATCAACTATTACCACATTCTCATCTCGCCACAGGTAACTATGAAAGCACAATATTGTCACAGGTGGAGGGTTTGTTGTGGATACCCCTCTGGGCCTCAGTACATGTGAGTATTATGATGTGCTAATAGTCGTGCTTGTTTTTATTTTATTTTTGTTTCCCTTGCCTTGCAAACTAGCAAGTTGAGGACGGCGGATTGGAAATATCTGAGGCGTAGTGTTTGATAACTGTGGTAACTTTGACTGTCACATTTGATTAGCATGAGGCTTTTATATATGTGAGGAGGGGGCCGTGAGAAGGGGCTGTGCACATGCGGGACAGTCCCAGATGCACCCAGTTATCAATGACATTCTGATCACCCTCATGTGCATCTGTGTTCATTTTGTGCAAATACTGCTTAAGGAGTAGACATTTATAAGACTTCAGTATAAATATTGTGTATATGCCTTCCAGATCAGGTAAAATGGCCAGAGACTGGAAACCTGGTGATCTCATCTTTGCCAAGATGAAGGGATACCCACACTGGCCTGCCAGAGTAAGTTCCAGTCCATCTGTTATGTCAGGACTGCCCTGCATATGTAAGTAAATGGTTAAAGTTGTTTGAACCATCTGCAATGTACTTATGTTACGACTTGTTTATCCCATACTTGTCTGTAAATGACTTGGCGCAGACAGAGGCAAGTGTGGCCCAAACACACGCCTTCCTCTTTCAAGGCACGGACATAAAAAAGGAAACCTCTCCATACAATATGTTGGATTCATACATACATGACATATTTAAATTAAATGGGCCCCGGAAAATATGGTAAATTATTATAAATGCGTACAATACAACATAAGAGTGTTGTTTGATGCAGAGATATTAGGATGCCCCTGATGGTGAAAAGTCTCAAAGAGCTGGAGCTCTTTGTTGGCTATAATCATTGTAATGGATGAAATCTGCTTGTGTAGACTATGAAAAGGATGAGAAAATAATGGCTTACAAGACGAAAGACCCTTCCATTGAGAAATCTTCAAAATAAACTAAAATCAAGAGAAATGTCCCCACAACTTTTGTCCCATTTTTGATTGCATAGAATCTAAATGAATTCAGTCTTTGCAATTTGCTACTTGCGACTACAACAAGGATGACCTCTAATCAATATCAGGGGAAACGTGCTCTTTTGTGGACGCGCTTGTGTTACATTTAAACATTGTTCTTTGTCAGATTGACGAAGTTCCAGACGGTGCAGTGAAGCCATCCAACATGAAGTTTCCTATCTTTTTCTTTGGCACGCATGAAACGTAAGTGCTCCATGAAACATTTGTACATGTGTTGTCTGATGAGTCGGTAGTTACTCTGTTGGCTTCTTTCTTCAGAGCGTTTCTAGGGCCAAAAGACATTTTTCCATACCAACCCAACAAAGATAAGTACGCCAAACCCAATAAGCGAAAAGGCTTCAACGAAGGACTGTGGGAGATTGAAAATAACCCCAAAGCTGAACTCACCGGTCCTAAGGTATTCCCTTAAAATGACATCTACATCTTCTATATGTGGGTCTGTCTGTACATGTCAACCTGTTATCTATTTATATTTTCTAAGCAGTTTAACCTGGAGTTATTCCTAATAAAATACACAATGGACATGTTGATAATATATATATACAGTATATGAACTTATTCGTGGGTTCAAGCCTGACCTTCACCATCGACTCCCACTGTCTACTGTCGTTGTGTCCTTGGCGAGACACTTAACCTCTGGGAACACCAGCCACAGTGGGGCGGCTGCGGCTGTAAAGTGCCAAACTGCCGTTGTGTCCTTAGGCAAGACACTTCACCCCCATTGCCTAGAATGAGTCTGGTGTGTGTGTGAATGGTTGGTGGTGGTCAGAGGGGCCGATGGCACATACTGGTTGCCTCGCTTCTGTCAGTGTGCCCCAGGGCAGCTGTGGCTACAGTAGTAGTTCATCACCACCGTGTTTGGAGTGAAAGAATAATGACATGTGAAGCGTCTTTGAGTGTCCAAAAAAGCTCTATATAAAACGGATGCATAATTGTTATTATTATTTAAGTTGCGTACTACAGCTTTGCATACATTTGTCCTGCTTATTAAAAATGAATGACTATCAGGCAGATGTTAGCCCTTACAAAAATGTAAGTGCATTTTCACACTTATTGGTCTGGGTCACTTTAACTGGACCAAGTTTGGTTCTCTTGTCGCAAAATGCTTCACAGATCAGTTTCAGAAGATCAGACTGATTTAAGTGAATATTGGAGTATAGGTTCTCTTGTTTGGTGGTTTTTACAGCCACAACTAAAGCATTTTTTTGTCTTAATTGAAGCAGCATTGGTCTAGTTTAAGTGAACCAGACCAATGAGTGGGAACAGGCTTATTATCACAGTGTACCTTTTTATTTGATATTATCATCACAAAATGAGCTACAATTTTAATTTACAATGATTTTTGCATAGCCCTGATTTCTCAGACAAATCATTTATCAACATTTCAAAATAATTGCACTGCAGCATGTGGATAGGAATTCTAATATAAATATGTTACAATTAATGATTAGTAAATGGACAAACCATTTTGTTTTGTCTTTGTTTCCAAAGCCGGTTCCACCCAATTCTCTCCGGACAGAAAAGGACTCGGACAGCAGTGCAGAGGAGGACGAGAACAAGGGCAGTAAATCTAAAGTAAGTCCTTATGATTTGTTTAACTGGTTTTATCGGATCAATGTCCCAACAAAGTGTCAAGTCAGGCTTTTGATGCCTGCCGCCCATTGATTGTCTGTGTCATACTATTTTATCTGTTACTAGAGATGTCACTTTTGAGTTTTTGGAGTTACAATAATTGTGTGAGAACTTTGACTTATTTATCAAGTATGACATTTACAGTTACAATTCAAACTCTGCAAAGACACATTTGTGTGCAATTCTCTTTCAGAGGCCTGAGTTCTGTTGAGGTTGAATGCTTTATTGTGCACAAACCGAAAAATGTATCAAACCACATACAATGCTAATGCTTCTATCTCACTTTCAAAACAGTCTGGGTCCATCAGTAGTTTTCACATTCATGTCATTTTGGCCTCTTACAAACCTTTTTTAGATCAGCCTTTTCAGACAGAAAAGCAAAAAAGAGAAGATCAATTATCAAATAGTGACTCACAGGACTCTTATCTTTCAAGTATGTAAATGATAATAACATGTTTTCTGTTTAGATTTGTGGTCTGATTTCACTTTAAGGACTAACATGTTATTCATGACACAAGAAGTACTGTCCCCCAAATTTAAATTGTATCAATTTCTTAGCAACACAAAACTTCTAAATATTGCAAAATCCTGTGACCTGTTTTCATTTACAATGACTGCAATTGTCCAGTAGATGGTGCTGCTGCTGCTAATATTTACAGTCTGTAAGAACCACATCCCTCATTACAGTACAATTGTTTTGATTGTTTTTTGTAAGGATGTTTCCCAGAAAGATTCAAAGAAAGGACGTAAGAAAAAGGTGAGTTTTTTGGTTGGAATTTTTGCGCTTTAGTTACATCTATTACTCACTTGATTGTGATTAAGCACCATTAGCAATAAATTAAAAACGGCCTTCCTGATAATCAGTACAAATATTACAAGTTTGTAAACATTGTATGTGGATTGTTATAAAAATACAATAAAAGAATGAATACAATAAATATTATATTGATTTATTTTTCATTTCATTTGTACATTTTAATTGTAATATATTTTAATATGGTGCTATGGTGCTATGAGACTTGGGTGGCATCTCTGATTGCCACCCCCCTGACCCAGAAATGGATTAAAGGGTAGAAAATGGATGGATGGATGGATGGATATATTTTAATATTAAACCACATTTGAGAGAACTTTTGATTACATTTGTGAATGCTTTGCAAAGAAAAATAAACCTCTGTCCTTCATGCAGACCGACGAGACCGAAAATGAAAAGGACGATGTGCCTGCGAGCCCCGTCAGTTCAGGTGGGCGGCTTCACTTTACAGGATTTTGGTGAATTTGTTCGATCCGTTAGCTTTAATTTAATTTTGATTTTACTGCAGGAGGAGAAAGTCAAAAACGCAGAGGGAGAAAGTCCCAGAGTGAAAAGCCACTTCCGCTTCAAGAGAGCCATGGGTCAGGAAATGAAATGTGAGTCCGGGAGTAACTTGACAATTCCAGAACTCTGATATTCAGAGTTTTTTTTACTGCATTTCCACATTAGTTTTTCCTTTAGGCTCTTGTGAAAAACAAACCATCGTACATTCAAAAAGTTATTTATTTCATGATGTTTCAGCCCTTATAGCTTTCATCTGATCATTCCTTTCTCTTATTTTCTTTCTATATGAACACAATATGCTCATGCAATATGCTGTTTTTGAAATCCCCGTTCAATACCTTCTCCTTTTGGCTCTTACACATGAAATTGCCCATGAAAATGTGACAGAAGCCAAAAATACATCAAATACTAGATAAGATGGTGATAGAAATGTTGAATTGTTTTGGAAGCATGGAACTGATTTGATGAATGGTTATACATTGGTTAGGAATAGGAGTGTGACAATATATCGATATGGTGATGTATCATGATACTTTCTCACGCGATCGATTATCGATATGCTTTTGTCAAGTAGGGTTGGGCGATATTTTTTTTGTACCGGTATAAGTAAATTAAATGATAAGAAAATGCCTTATACCGGTGAAAACAATCATTTAACACTGAAAACAGCGAGCGGAAGACACGTTTGTGTGCGGCGCACTTTGATGACGCATCTGCGCGGCACGTGTAGCAGAGCGGCGTGCAGGGACAACAACAACAGAGCAGAGAGCAAACATGGCTGAGGGCGGCGGTGAAGACCATGGTGAAGACATGCAGATTGTAGAAGACATTGTGCCAAAACGCGGAGCTACCTCAAACATATGGGAGTAGTTTGGGAACTAGATAAAAAGAAGCAATTGTGTGTAACTATCGACAGTGGATCTAATGTTGTGAAAGCAGCTGCCCTAAACAACTGGACTCGAGTGGCTTGCTTCGGACACTCTCTCTCTCTCTCTCTCATAGTGCCATTGGTAAGCTTTATTTACTGTTTACTGTCATTCATTTTACTTCAATGCATGTGTTTGTCTACATTGCAATATAATTACAAATAAGTTATAATTACATAATTATAGAAACGCAAAAGGATACAAAAAATATATACAGTATTTGATAATTTCGACTATATTGGGATTAGGAAACATAAGCCAAAGTGATCAAATAATTATTTGATAATGCTACACTTTTTATATTACAAAGGACAAACTTTTATATATTTTACAAATTACAAATGTTCACCTTTATTACATGTTGCCTGCAATTTTCAGTATGTACAAAACAGAATTCTCTACAATTCAGTTTTGTTAATACGTTTTATATACAATAGCTGTATTACAAATTTTGCTGCCAATAAATCAGTAAATGCACTTTGAGGCAAGTGTGTTTAAAATGATCAGTGCTAAGTTTTTATAGCTTTTATATGAGGCTTTGTTCAAATTATCATATCGTCATATCGTGATACATACCAACAAAAATCGTGATACATGCTGAGGCCCATATCGCCCAACCCTATTGTCAAGTATCAATAAAAAAAATTAAAAAAGAAATTAGTATCAATACTTACTATATGGCTACATTACGCATCTCCATTCCATTTATCATGAAATGAAGTGTATTTTTTCACTTAACATTTTTCTTTTATTTATGCTATAAATAATCGTAGGTATATTTCTGACCAATATATCGATAATTAATATCGTGATATAGTCGTTATTGTGAGCTTTGTATCGCGTATCGTATCGTGAGGTAGCCTGAGGTTCCCACCCCTAGTTAGGAACGAGCAACCCTTGGTAGAAGTAGGAAAACGTGCAGCTGGATCCTAGAAGACCTTACATTTGAACTTTTAATGAGATTACTTAATTATTGGGATAATCTTTTTACATTAGAAATGGTGGGTATGGATCAGATTTTGGCTCCTCAAACTTTCAAACCACGTAATAAAATTCATTCGACACATTCCTTTGGTTGAATCACTAGTATTCACATGCATGTATTTTTGGCACATGTGGCACATATTTACATATGTTGAACAGCTTTTTCAGACCGAAGAGTGAAAAGTAAGTCATCTTTATTTATATACTGCCTTTCACACAGACCAGAGTCACAAAGCGGTTTACAATTGTGGGCATTTGTCTCTCAGTCCACACTGAAATGGGCGGGGTCAGTACAGCAGCCGCATGCCAGGGGCCGTATTCCTAAAGATTCTGAGAGTCCTCTCAGAGAGCTCTTATCTTAACCTAAAAACTCCTAGCTAGGAGTCTTAGCTTAAGTTATTCCAGAACACTCTTAGAGAACTCTGAGCAAGGAATTGACAACAACTTTTATCTTAGTGAGGAGGCGTGGCCGACCCCGTTGCTAGGTATGAGTCATCATTTCAGACGCTGTGATTGGTTGATCCTAAAAGTTAGAACAAACATATTTTTGATGATAATAGGCAAAATAAGGGCCCTAAAATGGACAAACTCAATCATGGAATCTAATCTTAGGAACACTGTGTTATTGTAAATAATAACCAAAAGCTATAAAGTCAGATATATCAATGGTACATAAATACTGTGAATAGTAAAGTTAGACTTATACACCATCATCAGAGCTTGCTCAGCACCAATTTATCACACATAATACGTATATATCATGAGCACTTATAATTATATATATTTATATATATATATATATATATATATATATAAAATTTAAATATTACTCTATATATAATATACATGATAAAGAACATTATTATTATAAATATTATATGGATAAATGATGATAATGATAACGTTAGGATTAGTAAAGGCTGTGATATGTATAGACTTATAAGGAATTAAGGAAACAATATTAATATAAACATATTATACATACACTGTACAAATCAAGTACAAGGGAGCTTAAAAGTCTTATCCTCTCCCACTCCTTTTTGAGCTGGATTGTTGTTAATAAAACAAAACTGTATATTTGTACTTCTATTCTGTTGTTGTTTTGTTTGTTTTGTCCTTTTTTTTCTTGTTTGCCATGGCTCAAAATAAAGTATTCATTCATTCGTACTGAATGTGTGACAATTTAGGACCACTTTTTCCTCTTTCAACTTTTACCATTTCTACTTACTTTTGTGTAACAAAGGTAAAATGGATGAGGTGTTATTGCTGACCAGCCAATAAGAAGCTGGTCACATGATTGACTTTTAAATATACCACAAACATGATTCCTGCTTGAAAAAAAGTCCTCCTCTCAACTCTTAAGGGATCTCCCCTTAAGAGCACTCTTAAGAGCTAGGATTTTTTAGGAATAGCTTTTATCTTAACTAGGAGCTACTCCTCACTTTTAGGGGAAATTCTAAGAGTTGGTCAAGATTCTAAGAAAATTCTTAGAATTTGGCCACTAGGAGCAACTTTTAGCAGTAAGAATCTTTAGGAATACGGCCCCAGACCTATTGTACATGTTTTTAGTGGTAGGGGAAACCAGAGCACCCTAAGGAAACCTACGCAGACACGGGAAGAACATGCAAACTCCACTCAGAAAGGCCCTGTTCCGACCGGGATTCGAACCCAGGACCTTCTTGCTGAGAAGTGAGAGTGCTATCCACTCAGACACAGTGTCACCCAAAAGACCATCCTAACTAAGCCCATTAAATGGTGACTCACTGGGCTCTCTGCAAAAGATGGTTTCAAATGAGAGAAAGACTCTTTCTGTTGGATCAAATAACTTATTATTTGCAATCACTGACTTTCTTAAGCATTTGTTGATGACCAAGTTTTCGTTTTTTTAGGGAGACCGATTCAGACCGAAAGAGGAAAAGGGCCACAGAGTCTAAAAGTGAGGAGGAGAAGAGGAAGAGAGACGAGGGTAAAAAGTCCGAGGCCGAAGTCAAAGAGCCAGAGTCCAAGAGGAGGAGGCCAGGACAGAAAGACGGCCACGCGTCCACCTCCGAGGATGAAGAGGTGCTCACTCCAATCATCTTTAAAGCTTTTGTTGTCCATTATTGTGATGGTTTTTCGTCTTGCAGAAAAAACGAAGCAAAAGGAAAACTTCTGAGATGGAAAAAGATGTGAAAAGGCGTAAAGGGGAGGAAGCGTGAGTGTTTTTGTCTGTCTGTAGATGGGATGAGAGTTGTATTGCTGTTTTGTAAGTATAGTGTGGTTATCTTTGCTAACATGCCAGAACAAGCAAGGATGATGGAAAGAAAAGCGAGGAAAGGACTGGAACAAAGAAGAAAGGTACGTGATGTATTTTTAAATCTTTCTTTGTCCCAATAGATCCCAGGAAGATCAATCAGTGTCATTTATCCTGGCTCTTGCTTACATGCGGGTCAGCTTAAGAAGGTGCTGAAACTATACCCCAGTCTTTCCTTTTTAATGTTGTCCGTGTAAATATAAGTTATGCTTGCTGTAGTCATTGGTAATCTTGGGAGCCCTGTGATTGACCTTAAAACAATGTGTTATTTCTCACAATATTCATAACGTTTGAAATCCTGACCTTCCGATTAAAAAGATCTATTTATAAATCCTCCAGATGAAACACCATTCATTAATTCTATGAAAACACTGCTGATGTGGAGAAACCCAGTACATTTTGGATCTGATAAAACATTGACATAACACAACCCTGCTATGTTTGTTTTTCTACTTTACAGAACTGTCTACTGACCTGAAGCTCCACAAACTGCACAATGAGATCAGGATTTCCTTGAAAATTGATAACACAGTGAGTACTTTCACGCTTCATTGGCAAGGAAGCGGATTGCATCAGATTGTCATTTGACTCCTGAACATCGGCGCTTGTACTGTGTATTGTGTGTCATATGTAGGACGTGAAGAAGTGTCTGGATGCTTTGGACGAGCTCGGGGCACTCCAGGTCACCACGCAGCACCTGCAGAAGCACAGCGAGCTCATTGCTACACTTAAAAAGGTGCACACTCCGATTGATCGACACCATATATACACCAATAATGCAGCCCGGAAAATATTGTTTAGTGGCCCTTACGATTTTCAGCATTGGCAATGGGGCTGTAAAGGTAATGGATTAGTTGTCCGATTCATTCTTCCGATTAGTTGTTTAGATCCTGAAAGCTCAGTGAAATATGGTGTTTGTTTGTATTTATAAATCTGGCCAACATTTTCATAGAGATGATTAAAAATACACATTTTAATTTAATTCTGCAGTCATTATAGAATTATCCAAGTCTTAAAACCTCTCCTCAGTATGGTTAGGCCTATGTGTGAGGTGAAAAATAACCAAAACCTTTTGTCTGGTTGGGTTCAGTCAAATTAGAATTGAGATTATTTATCCAAACTAATGTTAAATCAAATATATTATTTGGACAAAATTATCTCCATAGCTTAAAATGTATAACCACAGATGGAAAGGATGAGCCTTCAAACTTTCAACAAAGAAAGCAATTGAGAGCTTGGTATAATTTTGTGTAACATAAATGAGGATTATTTACTTGCTATAAAAAGTTGTGGTTTTTTTAATAATAATAATAATGCATCGGTTTTATATAGCGTCTTTGAGCGCTGGACACTCAAAGGCGCTTCACATGTCATTATTCTTTCACTCCATACACGGTGGTGATAAACTACTACTGTAGCCACAGCTGCCCTGGGGGGCACTGACAGAAGCGAGGCAACCAGTATGCGCCATTGGCCCCTCCAAGCACCACCAACCATTCATGGGGGTTAAGTGTCGTTGCTAAGGACACAACGGCAGTTTGGCACTTTACAGCCGCAGCCGCCCCACTGTGGCTGGTGTTCCCAGAGGTTAAGTGTCTTGCCCAAGGACACAACGACAGTAGTCAGTGGGAGTCGATGGTGAAAGTCTTGAGCGGGGCTTGAACCCACGACCTTCTGGCTCAAAGGCCAACGCTCTACCAACTGAGCTACTGCCGCCTCTTGATTCAACCCTGACCAAAACAACTTAACCCTGATCTTTCTGAGACCTGTATCTACTAGGGATGTAAACCGGTGACCGTTTAACCGGTGGTTGACCGCCACAGTGTTAACCGGTCAAAGCTGTCGGTTAAAAAAAAAAAAGGGGAGAGGGGAGGTCTCTTAACGCTATTTTAAGCCCTATTTGCACGGTGTGACGAGCGGGTCCGTCTCTAGCTGTGTGCGCCAATGCATTGGTAAACACACACACATACATGTACACACATACCGGTCTGTCGCGCTCCTCTGTCTCACGCAGCCCAAAGGATCCTCGCAAATACGCAGCTCCAGTCAAACCACATGGAGCATGTTTGGGCTGCTGGTCCATGGTATCAGCTCCACACACATCACGGACAACATTGAAGCAAAATTACTGAAAATGGTAGCAAATCTAATTGCTCTGCCAATTACACACATTCTAAATTTGAGTTTCGGTTTAAGTATCTATCCACAGGCTTGGAAAACTGCTAAGATAATACCATTCCAAAAGAGCTCTGCTGTTCCTTTTTGTGGGCCTAACAGTAGACCGATAAGCCTGCTGCCAACCCTGAGCAAAATTATGGAGAGGATAGTTTTTGAACAAATACAGACATATTTTCCAGATAATTATTTGAACACTGACTTCCAGCATGCATATAGAGTAGGGCACTCAACAACTACAGCCATGGCACAAATGACGACCGACTGGCTTAGTGCACTAGACAATAAGAGACTGGCAGGTGCTGTGCTGTTAGACTTTAGTTCAGCCTTTGATCTTATCGACCACAAACTTTTGCTGAGGAAAATGAAATGTTATGGTTTCAGTCCAACTGCATTACTCTGGCTTGAAAGATATCTAGAAAACAGGAGACAAACTGTTTTCTTCAATGGAAGCTACTCTGATACACAGAATGTTAGCTGTGGGATACCGCAGGGAAGCTGTTTAGGTCCTCTCCTGTTTTCTATTTACCCAAATGATTTGCCGTTAGTAGTTGAGAAAGCTAAAGTCACTATGTACGCAGATGACTCCACAATTTATTCATCACAAAAAACTATTGAAGAACTCAAAAACTGTATTAATGAAAAACTTAAAATGTGTTAATGAGTGGGTCAAAAACAATAGACTAGCGTTAAACATTAGCAAAACAAAAAGTATTGTGTTTGGAACCAGATGTATGCTGTTGGACGAGCCAAAATTAAATTTAACTGTTAACAATACAAGTGTGGAGCAAGTTCATGAGATCAAACTACTGGGAGTGGAAATTGATAGGAGACTGTTATGGTCCAAACACACGAGCACAGTAGCACAAAGAATGGGTCGGAGTCTGTCAATGGTTAGAAGATGCTCCCATCTCTTACCGCTCAACATGACAGCAGATGTCATAAACACACTTCACAGTTGGATTATTGTTCTGAAATTTGGTCGAGTGCTGCATTATCAAATATTAGGCAGTTACAAATGGTTCAGAACAAGGCAGCTCGACTTGCTCTGCGGTGTACGTACAGAACAAATGTAAAGTGGATGCATTCATGTTTGTCTTGGTTAATGGTGAAAGAGAGATGTGAGGCATCGTTACTCAATTTCACAAGATATATTATGTATGTAATCTGTATGTAATCTTTATTTATATACCGCCTTTTCACTGCACATCGGAGTCTCAAAGCGGTTTACAATTGTTATTTGTTATTTTTGGGAGCAGGGGTGCCAGTACAGGAGGCACATGCCAGACCTATTGTACATATTTTTAGTGGTAGGGGAAACCGGAGTACCCGGAGGAAACCTACGCAGACACGGGGAGAACATGCAAACTCCACTCAGAAAGGCCCTGGTCCAACCGGGATTCGAACCCAGGACCTTCTTGCTGAGAGGCGAGAGTGCTATCCACTCAGCCACCGTGCCGCCCATTATTGAGAACAAAACTCCAAATGTGCTTTATCAAGAGCTCTGTTTTAGTTCTGGTGAGCACAACTATGAAACCCGACACGCCACAGAAGGCAGATTCAAGTTACCCAAAGTAAAAACAAATTTTGGAAAAGCAACTGTAATGTACAGGTCAATGTTTGCCTGGAATCATCTCCCAGATGACATAAGTAATGCAAACGGTAAATACCAATTTAAAATCCTTTTAAAAAGACATCTATTGACAAATTAGTATAAACATGTGATATTACAACTGTGCTGTAATCTCTCTAACTACCATTTACAACTGAAATTGGGTCTGGGTCTTGTGTGTGTGTGTGTGTGTGTGTGAGACCCTGTGTCATCATTTGTATCATTTTTGTTTTTATTTTAGTATAATTATTATCATGTATTTTTGTTAATGCACCTTGCCTGACTCCAGGAAGAATAGCTGTGTTGAACAGCTAATGGAGATCAAAATAAATACAAATACTGTATTTAAACTTTAGCGGAGACCTGCGAGACGCAGCTCGTCACTCGCTGCTCTGACCATGTGAACGAGCCGTTGTTTGCTGCTGAAAAGCTTTAAAACTGCAGCACAGGAGAATGGGAAGATTAAAAAAGCAGTTCTCTGTGCGCAAAGGTGCCGAAGCTGTTGCTGCTTTTGGCGCCGCTGTCTCGCCTCTGATCCAGTAGAACGCAGAGCTGCTCTAATGGAAAGTACGCGGCCCGAAATGGCTGTTATTTCAAAGAACGTGGAATATTTTAAACTACGCGGTTAACCGGTTTCAACCGGTTAATGAGGCTCGGTGGTCGGTCATGAAAATTCAGTTTTTTTTACATCCCTAGTATCTACAACCAGCTGTCATTGTTCGTTCACCTACTGACGTCCTACTTTCTCTTCAGATCCGAAGATTCAAAGCCAGCCAAGACGTCATGGACAAGGCGAGCATGTTGTATCACAAGTTTAAAAGCATGTTCCTCGTCGGAGAAGGAGACAGCGCACTCAGCCAAGTGCTAAACCGGTCTATAGCAGAACAAAGACAACACGAAGAGGCCAAGAGAGGCGCCCTGAAGAAAGCGGAGCAGGGAAAAGAAAACACAGGTCAGTGAGCATTGAAAAAACTAGGATGTATGTCTGTCTTATTGAGGTATCTTCATCATCATACATACGATGTTTTACGAGTAAGTGCCTGATCCATTACTACTCTCCACAATAAACTCCATAACACTGTGCAATTGCTCCCTTTTGGGGGTCATCAGTTTCAACCCCTTGCTTAGCCTGCCGTGGCGTCATGGATTAAGTTTTGCCCTCCCATTCCCCACTAAAGCAATAATGCAAAACTTTGTCCATGGTTAGCATTGTCCATCTATACAGTGCCTTGCAAAAGTATTCGGCCCCCTTGAACCTTTCAACATTTCGCCACATTTCAGGCTTCAAACATAAAGATATAATTACATTTTTTGTCAAGAATCCATAACAAGTGGGACACAATCGTAAAATTGGAACGAAATTTATTGGATTTAAACTTTAACAAATAAAAAACTGAAAAGTGGGGAGTGCAATATTATTCGGCCCCCTTGCGCTAATACTTTGTAGCGCCACCTTTTGCTGCAATTACAGCTGCAAGTCGCTTGGGGTATGTCTATCAGTTTTGCACATCGAGAGACTGGAATTCTTTCCCATTCTTCCTTGCAAAACAGCTTGAGCTCAGTGAGGTTGGATGGAGAGCGTTTGTGAACAGCAGTCTTCAGCTCTTTCCACAGATTCTCGATTGGATTCAGGTCTGGACTTTGACTTGGCCATTCCAACACCTGGATACGTCTATTTGTGAACCATTCCATTGTAGATTTGGCTTTATGTTTTGGATCATTCTCCTGTTGGAAGATAAATCTCCGTCCCAGTCTCAGGTCTTTTGCAGACTCCAACTGGTTTTCTTCCAGTATGGTCCTGTATTTGGCTCCATCCATCTTCCCTGTCCCTGCTGAAGAAAAGCAGGCCCAAACCATGATGCTGCCACCACCATGTTTGACAGTGGGGATGGTGTGTTCAGGGTGATGAGCTGTGTTGCTTTTACGCCAAACATACCGTTTTGCATTGTGGCCAAAAAGTTCGATTTTGGTTTCATCTGACCAGAGCACCTTCTTCCACATGTTTGGTGTGTCTCCCAGGTGGCTTGTGGCAAACTTTAAACAAGACTTTTTATGGATATCTTTGAGAAATGGCTTTCTTCTTGCCACTCTTCCATAAAGGCCAGATTTGTGCAGTGCACGACTGATTGTTGTCCTATGGACAGACTCTCCCACCTCAGCTGTAGTTATCTGCAGTTCATCCAGAGTGATCATGGGCCTCTTGGCTGCATCTCTGATCAGTCTTCTCCTTGTTTGAGATGAAAGTTTGGAGGGATGGCCGGGTCTTGATAGATTTGCAGTGGTCTGATACTCCTTCCGTTTCAATATAATTGCTTACACAGTGCTCCTTAACTCATTGACTGCCAGCCCATTTCAAAACAGGTACTCCCATATTGCCAGCCGTTTCTGGTGGTTTTTACTGATTTTTCAAGACCCACAGAATATTGTGTACTTTGACTATCTGAAATCTAAAACTAGATTCTGAAAGAATGGGCTGTCTACTCTCACCAGCAAAAAGAATTTTGTTTCTATCTTGTTTAGTTCTTCTGTAATCCCCAGTTGAGTAGAGGGAAGTTTTATTGAAATCACCAGAAAGCTGAGAAAAAAGGGCCACAAACAGTGCATCTAGCTGTGTTCAAACCATTCATAGCGCAATGCTGCCATCTGCTGGCTCCATAAAGTATTGCCTCAAGCCAATCTCCACATATTAGATTCAATGGACAGCTGGGAACGTAAAAATAGCGGGAAACGCAATTGACGTTGTCATGATGTACGCCGATAGGCCACTATATTGTGCGTCATCAGGCATGAGACGTTTTTGGGAGACATGTGTTTGGTCACGAGTGACTATGGTTCTGTACAAGAATAAAGTACACGTTTAGAAGTTACAACATCTCTTCATTTCTTCACATCGCTGTACACGAGATGGTGTCAGAAGTGGTCGACGACAGGACGCCTGCATAAGAGCAATGGCAAAGTTCGGACCGCCAGAAACGTTTGACTTTTCCAAACCAGCAGAGTGGCCAATATGGCGCCGCCGCTTCGACCGGTACAGGGTCGCTACGAAGCTCGACAGAGACAGCGGCGAAGTGCAAGTCAACACACTTCTCTACGCTTTGGGAAGAGAAGCAGAGCCAATATATGATTCATTTGTGTATAGTGACAGCGAAGATGAAAATAGTGACGATGAAGAGAGGACACAGTCACGGTTTGATTACTCAAAAGTGATAGCTAAGTTCACGGAGCATTTTGTGCCCAAACGCAACGTCATTCACGACCGTGCATGCTTTTACAAGCGAGTGCAGAAGCCCGGAGAATCAGTGGAGGCGTTTGTGAGGAGTTTGTATGAACTATCCCAGTACTGTGAGTTTGGAGCCATAAAAGACGAGCAAATCAGAGACAGGATTGTTATTGGCATATCCGACAGTGATGTCTCCCAAAAACTACAGCTAGAAACGGAGCTCACACTGGAAAAAGCTATCCAAATAGCAAGACAAAATGAACAAATTAAGCAACAGAACATCAGTATGCGTGCGGAATGCAGTCTGGATGCAGTGAGACAAGGCAGGCGGCAGTATGATAGAAAGAGTAAATCAACTGCGCACTACCAACGTGAGGATCACCGCGAACAACAGAGCTGCTCACGCTGCAAGAGACAACACGGGAGAACTCAGCCATGCCCAGCAAAGAACAAGAGGTGCAGAAAATGCAACAAAATGGGACATTTTGAGGTAGCGTGTTACACTAAAACACTGAAAGAAGTCACCGTTACTCCCAGAGAAACAGACACAGATGATCCGTTTTTCTTAGGAGCAATTAAAGAGGACAAAATGATTGAGCAAAACGGTCCAGATGAGGAGTGGTTGGTAAACTTACCTGTGAATGGCAGCAGAGTCGAGTTCAAAATAGACACAGGGGCCGACATCACCGTCATGGCACAGAGTGAAGTTAACAAGTTACAACACTGCCCCCGCCTGGTCACGTTGAAGAAATCACCCCAAATAACAAGTCCTGGAGGTAAAGTACAGTGCATAGGCAAGTTTCTGGCCATAAGCTACTACAAAGGGCAAAAGTACAAGTTTTGGATAACTGTTATAAGTGGCCCATATGTCCATAACCTGTTAGGTGGGAGTGTAGCTAAGAAAATGGGTCTGGTCAAGAGACTTGATAACATAAACATTGTTGAGGATGTTTTCGGGGACATTGGTCTTCTCAAATGTGACCCAGTCAAGATTGAACTGAAAGCCAAGGCCGAGCCCTATTCCCTAACTACACCACGTAGAGTGCCGTTCCCTCTTCTACCAAAAGTGGAGGCTGAAATAAAACGCATGTTAGAGCTGGATATCATTGAAGAAGTCACGGAGCCCACTGACTGGTGTGCCCCAATGGTACCAGTTGAAAAGAAAAACAGTGAAAAAGTGAGAATCTGTGTTGATTTAAAGCGTCTAAACAATGCAGTAAAGCGCGAAAGGTACATGTTGCCAACATTGGAGGATATCGCCCCAAAGCTTTCAGGAGCGAAAGTATTCTCAACGTTGGATGCATCATGTGGATTCTGGCAGATACCTCTGGAAGAGGGCTGCAGGAAGTTAACAACTTTCATCACGCCAATGGGCAGATTCTGCTTTAAGCGCTTACCTTTCGGAATCACTTCCGCCCCAGAAATATTTCAAAGACAAATGTCAGAGCTGCTAAAAGGACACAATGGGGTTGTCGTGGTGATGGATGACATTTTAGTCTTCGGGACAACAAAGGAGCAGCATGACAGACACTTGAGTGCAGTTTTGAGGACCATCAGAGAGAGTGAACTAAAACTAAACAAACAAAAATGCCATTTCGGGAAGTCAGAAATACAGTACTTTGGCCACATAATCAGTGCTGAGGGCATGAAGCCGGACCCAGACAAAGTAAAGGCAATCACCCAAATGGAAAGCCCAACAAATGTGGAAGAGCTGCGCCAGGTCCTGGGTCTCATCAACTATGTGGGTCGTTTTCTGCCTGATCTATCATCAAAACTACATCCAATAACGGAACTTCTCAGAAAGGAGAGCAGGTGGACATGGGATTATGCACAAGAACAAGCATTCATGGAGGTTAAAGCTATGCTTGTAAAAGCACCGGCACTTGCATATTATGATCCACAACGAGAGACTGTCATTAGCGCAGACGCCAGCAGCTATGGGTTAGGAGCCACTCTACTTCAGGAGAATGGGGGCAAGTTAAAGCCAGTAGCTTTCTGTTCCCGCACTTTAACGGACTCCGAGAAACGATACTCACAAATCGAAAAAGAGTGCTTAGCTGGGGTATGGGCATGTGAGAGATTTGCACGCTATGTACAAGGGATGGATGGTTTCAGGTTGCAAACAGATCATAAACCTTTGGTTCCATTAATTAACACTTACGACATAGACAAAGCCCCGCCCAGGTGTCAAAGGCTTCTAATGCGCCTTCTGAGATTTCAGGTGGTTGCAGAGCACGTTCCAGGGAAACAACTGGCCGTAGCAGACGCGCTCTCCAGAAATCCACTGAGCTGCACAAGTGATAGCAGCACCGACAAAGAGGTACAAGTACATTTGCAATCTGTAGTGTCAAATGCACCAGTGTCACCACAAAAGCTGAGGGAAATCCAAGAAGCTACTCTACATGACGAAGAGTTAGTGAAAGTTACCAGCCTGATACAGAATGGCTGGCCCTTAAGAGAGGCATTACATCCTTCGCTTCATAGTTACTATTCAGCGCGCACACAACTCTCTGAGGCAGATGGACTAATATTGTTTCAGGACAGGATAGTCATACCAACTGCGCTCAGGTCAAATGTGCTAAAACGCATACATGAGGGTCACCAAGGACTAACTAAGTGTCGCGCCCGTGCAAGGATGTCAGTGTGGTGGCCGGGTATCAGCAACGAGATTACTCAGCTCATTACCACATGCAGGTTTTGTATTGAAAACAAACCTTCACAAAGACATGAGCCTCTTCTCACCACCCCTCTGCCACAAGGGCCCTGGCAGCGCATTGCAGCTGACTTATGTGAGTTTGAAAAACAAAACTACCTTATTGTGACAGATTACTATTCCAGAGATATTGAGATAGCAAACCTGTCCAATATTTCCAGTAGACAAGTTATTGGCAAAACTCAAAAATATGTTCGTCCGATGGGGAATACCGCTGGAGCTGGTCAGCGATAATGCTACACAATTCACTTCAGAGGAATTCAAGCATTTCTGTGCAGAATATGGCTTTGCACATGTAACCTCCAGTCCACACTTTCCCCAATCAAACGGTGCCGCAGAGCGTGCTGTACAAACAGCAAAACACATCCTGAAACAACCTGACCCGCATTTGGCTCTGATGTGTTACCGAGCAACCCCATGCACTGCTACAGGCGTGTGTCCAGCCGTAGTTATGACAGGCAGGCACATCAGAACAACACTGCCAATGCTGGAGAACAAGATGAACAGTGTACCTATTGACAAGCAAGCCATTTTGAGAAAGGACCAGCAGTCCAAGTCTTCTTATAAGTTCTTCCATGACCGCCACCACTCAGCGAGACCTCTGGCTGAGCTGTTTCCAGGACAAGACGTCAAAGTAAAGTTGGATGGAGAGAAAACTTGGAAATCTTCAGGAAAAGTTCTTGGAAAGAGTGATGAGCCACGTTCATACTTGGTTCAAATGGACAATGGGACTATTTCACGTCGGAATAGGAGACACATTCAACTAGTTCCGGATTTCAATCAGCTCACTACCACCACAAGAACTGCCACATGCGAGCTCACCAAAACAAACCAGCCCTGTGGATGCCACTCAGGAGGACAGTGAGTTGGATTCTGGACAATGTGTTGTGACAACAAAACTGTCACTGCATGAAACACCACGGAAAGATGTCCAGGTCACATCTAGAGGCCGAGTTATTAGAGCTCCTCTGAGATACAGGCAATAACTGGACACTGCAAAGTTAAACAGTTTTGTTAAAATGTTTTGTTCTGAAATTAATGCAGTAATATTGTTTTACATAGATAAGGCAAGATGCAGAGATAATCTTTTGTGTTTACAGAGATGTTTATTTCTTAAAAAAAAAAAAAAAAAAAAAAAAGATTGTATTTTGGGGATATTCCATTGTTTTCAAAGGGGGAGATGTCATGATGTACGCCGATAGGCCACTATATTGTGCGTCATCAGGCATGAGACGTTTTTGGGAGACATGTGTTTGGTCACGAGTGACTATGGTTCTGTACGAGAATAAAGTACACGTTTAGAAGTTACAACATCTCTTCATTTCTTCACATCGCTGTACACGAGAGACGTGTTAACACGTCATTGGCAGACAACGTTACTATTTAGTTTGACGTGTTAACACGTCAATGGCAGTCAATGAGTTAAGATGTTTAAAGCTTGGGAAATCTTTTTGTATCCAAATCCGGCTTTAAACTTCTTCACAACAGTATCTCGGACCTGCCTGGTGTGTTCCTTTGTCTTCATGGTTCTCTCTGCGCTTTAAACAGAAGCCTGAGACTATCAAAGAGCAGGTGCATTTATACGGAGACTTGATTACACACAGGTGCATTCTATTTATCATCATCAGTCATTTAGGACAACATTGGATCATTCAAAGATCCTTACTGAACTTCTGGAGTGAGTTTTTTTTATTTGTTAAGAAATTTTAAATTATCCAATAAATTTTGTTCCACTTCACGATTGTGTCCCACTTGTTGATTTATGACAAAAAATAAAATGTTTATCTTTGTTTGAAGCCTGAAATGTTGAAAGGTTCAAGGGGGCCGAATACTTTCGCAAGGCTTTGTCTGTGTGTCTGTGTGTCTTGGGTCAAGAACGGAAGATCTAAAAACCCATTGGGAGACAAGTACAGGATAAGATGGAGATGATAGCAATAACCATATAAGATGATAAACTCTCCACAAAGAAAACGATGCAGACCTGGGTATAAACCCCCTTGACCCTGAAAGATTTTCCCCTTAACACTAGGAAGTACTTGTCCTACGCTGGTGAGGACAAATAGGTTGGGGATGATTAATATTGTTTATTACCATGGAGGCAGGTGACGCTTTTAATGAGATTGAATCACCTACTGTTGAGCATTCCAGATTCCAGATAGTCTGCCCTAACACAACACTATGCACATAGAGGTTTATAAGCTATGACCATCCTGCCTAAGGTTTGCTTTAAGGTAAAATTAAAGGCCTCCTTCAATACCACATCCAGCTTTAATGCTGCTCGTGTACGTACTGTACAGCTTCTAGCCCAAAGCCTGCTAAAAGGTCTCCTTTTAGGAGAAGCCATACCAAATGGGTGGAAAATCCTAATTCTCTCAGTAAGGTCTGGAGCTCAGCATGTGTCATCACATGCTTGTGTAAATCTGTTGTGGGTGGTTAGTTTAGGCACTGGTTCTCTGTTTGACCAAGGCTTTCTCTGTCTCTACAGACAAGACTGGGAGCAGTGAAATGAACCCAGAAGAGAAGAAGCAGGAGGCCGTTAAGGAGACAGATGAGGATATCCCAGCAGCAGAGTCTAATAGGTACATGTGTCAAACCAATGGACAATTCATAATTTTCTATTATGCTTAATAATCAATTTGTTTTGTGGATTATATAAATGGATCATCATACACACGGTTCAAAAAAATGAGATTGCCATACAAGTGTTAATTTAACATTTTAGTGCAATTAGTTAATCGATTTTATTTTTGTGTCTGCAGTGCCTTGAAACTCCCAGAGGAATCCTGAGTGCTTCCAGTAGGATGTCTGTCAGTGGCTGTTGAACTTCAGTAGAGAAGTTAGTAAATGAAAAGTGAGACGTAATCACTTAGGCATTTCCAGGTCACTAGTATGTGTTAATAATGTTGCATTGCTCAGAAGTCAAAACTGTTGCCAAAGGTCTAACCATGTTGTCTGATTTTAGGTTTTACTTATTTCTGTATATAAGAGTATTTTTGTCTATTTGTCCAAAAATCCATTAATAAAGTGGTCTTAAAACTCATCTTGTTTCCATTTTCATTAGAGGTTGATTCGAATTTTTTTTTTTTTCTGTAACCGATGTAATTCCTTTCAACATGGTTACATTGAATTTTCAAATTTGTTTTATTGAGGGGTCTTTACAAGCTAAGTCAGTTATAACAAAGGCTTGATATCTCACTTAAAATGTGAAACTATTTTCTAAGTTCAATTACAGAGGTTAATGGACTTCTGAACGCAATTATATTCTCATTTTCACCCTTAGGCTGGACTAGACTAATAATTTTGTAAACTATTCAATCTAAATAAACATTGGGTGATATCTGTGCCAATAAAATCTGTCTACCTCAAACTTTCACTCAAAGTTGTGACTGAGAAAATAAATCAAGCATATACAATAAACTTTATTAGAAATTAGGTCATATTGAACATGTATATAATAATAATTTAACCAATATTTCAAATGAACTTGATGCTATAACATACAGCAATAAAGCAGTAGGTCCAGGTCAGTTAAAGGCACCTCTGTCTATGTAAGGAAAGGCCTGAAACTGGCCAAGCTTGTTGCCCTGAGGGTCGTAGTGCAGCATTCGAAAACACTTGTCGCAGAAGAGGCACGGGTCGCTCGGCGCAAGCTGGTCGTTGGTCGTATGCCACCTGAAAATACATAGATTCAGAAGGAGCTTTAAATTTTCATTGATGGAGGTTTGGACTCTTCCTGATCAAATGCTCTAATGTGAAAACAGTGAATCCACGGATCAATGAACGATCCCTAGAAATGTACAGAGTTACAGATGAGAATGGAAAATAAAAAGTAGCTGCCTACAATACTAAAACAAAAAATGAGAAATTCAAGTAGAAGGACACAAGAAGATGAAACCAGAAAGAATGTGTGTAATGTGTTGGTCATTTATTAGTTTCACCTGTATGCAATTAAAGGGTACCCAACTAGTTCCTCGCTCTAGTTCTTTCAGACAGAAAAGGGAGGACCATCCATGCGTCAAATAGTGGTCACATTAGGTCAGAATGTGCTGTATGTCAAAGGGAGACACTATTGGAACAGCCTCCTAACAGTCAAAGAATGTCCCGATTTTCATTTCATTTTCTCTTCCACTTTATTATTCCATTTCTGGTCGGGGGCGGGGTGACAATCAGAGCTGCCACCCAAGTCTCAAAGCACCAGTCCAGTTTTATATGTGATGTTTGTAAATGTATGTATACCTGTGTTACCTGCCTAGGGACAACGGATGGAAATTAACTTTCTGCAGATAAGTAATTATGCATTAATTTTATATCGCGGTTTTGTTTACATTCAAAGACGCTTCACTTGTCATTATTAGGGGTGTCACAATTTCCCAAATCCTTGATTAGACTTGATTTTTCGGTCACAATTTGATTCTCAATTTTTCTTTTTCTAACAGCACACTCAAATACGCTGATTAAATGTTTAAATCTGCTTTTTCTACTGCTAAAAATAACCCTATAGCGTTAGTTATAGCTTTAGCGTGAGCTGAGGTCTGTGGAAGTTTTATTGGCAAATGGTACAGGCACATAGCATATCTAATAGCAGACACATAGCTGTCATGGTTGTCAACATATCAACACTGGTGATTTGAGAGCAGCAGGAGTGGCTTTAGGGGGTGACAGTGGCTCAGTTGGTAGAGCATTGGCCTTTGAGCCTGAAGTTCGTGGGTTCGAGCCCACCACAAAACCTTCTCCACCAACTCCCACTGATGACTGCTGTCATTGTGTCCTTGGGCAAGACACTTAACCCCACTTTGCCTGAAGCCCCCACTGAAAGATCAAGGCTATGCTCACACTAACAGAGCAGCCATTCTCCTGTGGACTCACCACTTGCAGAGGATCAGTGAGGGGTTGGTGCTCTGTGACTTGGGTGGCATCACTGACTGCCGCCCCCCGACCCAGAAATGGATTAAGGGGTATAAAATGGATGGATGGAGGAGTGGCTTCAAGCTCCAGTGCCGCGTCTCCTTTATCTGCAATTGCCACGGTGTCATAAAGTGCAGGTATAGCTAACTAGTGTGCTACGTCGTCATGTACTTTTACCTGTTTGCGCACCGTCCTGATGTATGTAAACCTGGGGGAAGGTGATTGTTGATCCTCTCTATGATTTCTATGACGACCAACAGCGTAATTTCGATCGATTTTGTGTTACAATTACAAAATCGTGACACCCCTGTTATTCATTTACTCCATATACAGTGGTGTTAAACTACAACCGTCCAGCCGCCAACACCACCATTGGAGCACTCACCAGACTCATTCTAGACAATGTGGGTGAAATATCTTGTCTAAGGACATAAGAACAGTTTGGCACGTTACAGCCGCAGCAGCCCCACTGTCGCACCTGGTGTTCCCTGAGGTCTACCATCACAGTACCAACCAGGCCCTGCCCTTCTTAGTTTCAGAGGTCTAGGTTTCACATGCAGGTGGCCTAGATGTTCATGAATGTGCACTATCAAATAAAATAAGATAATAATGAATAAATGATGACGATGATAATGATTATTGTTATTACTACTATAAAATAACTTATCAGCTCCGATGCCAGTGTCGTATTGGTGCATCCCTTGTGCCAGTGTAAAATGCCTGATTATTGAGGATGCCTGATCTGGAACGTCAAGCATTTCCTTTGCGTCACTGTTCACAATTGTAAACAAAATAGCCCTTCATCTTTGATCCGGGGGTGTCCAAACTTCACACACAAACCTGCCGATGTAGACGTGACAGGCGGCGCACTTGTTTGTGTCGATCCGGTCCTTGTGGATGAGCAGTGGGTAAGTGGTCCGGTCCAGGCAGTCGTCCCGGTGCATCAGCCTGCAGAGAGAGAGCATGAAAAGCCTTCCCTTGAGCGGCGTGTCCATTCGTCCCACGTGAAGAGACGTGAATGCTCATTTCATATGTGGTCGCTCTGCTTATACCCACACAGCTCCGACATTTACAAATTTATGAGCGCAATGAGACATAAGGTTACGGAGGCACTTCCTAGAGTCTTGTGAGAAACTTCAAACTCAACACAAGGAGCTTTCATTGAGAGAGGTATCAGCGCGCGATAGCACAGGCCAACATGGCATCTTGTGATAAACCACAGTGGAATGGACTTTACATGGATCCTGCTCCTGACCTGAAATGATCTAGCACTGCGCAGGACACAAAGTATTATCCAGGCAGGGTATACTATATGAGAAATATTTTTGTATTTGTACAGTCTATTTAATACTCACTGTCCCATCCAAATAAATACAATATTTTCTTAGTCAGCACATATCAACAAGGGTGCAATTATTTTTCCATAAAAAGGTGTCTAATGGTGATGATATTCAAAAACATAATAAGGATGTTGGCCAGTAGAAAGACATAACAATAATATGGCGGGCCTTGGTGAATCTTATCACTATCAAATAATGATCTGGAAAAAGATTTGGATATTTTCTTTGTCAACATTTCTTTCAAAAACTGCTTCTTTCCCATAGAGTTGAACTTCAACTGAAATAGAGCAATCTATTGACAGGTTGTCATAGAAACATGTGCCCCTGCTACAATGTGCTGGAGTGTTGTCCTTTGAGATGTGAAATATTGTAAAACTCCTACATAAAGCCCATTTTAACAAACATGGAAAGCTAAGTGGAATTTTGAGTCAAATCAAGTACCATACATGAAATAGAACCATCTTAATTAAGTTTGAGTGAAAAGGGCCGAATGTAATATTTTCATTTTAAATTACATGTACATTTTTTAACTGTCCCCAGATAGCAAATCATAATAAAGTGTCATTATTAATTAATTCTTCTTAATTGAAAAAACAGTGTCTATAAAACTTATATTTCTTTTCACACATATTATCCAATCAGAGAGTAGAATGCGTCTCTCATCAGGATTGCCAGTCAATGACATCACGTTGATAGATGTCACCGAAACCAGACAGTCTGTGGTCTCTATCTGTAATCAGTTCTTAGGAGTTGTTGGATGTGTCAAAGGCAGGGGATTCCTTGCAACAGCATTTATAATTACTTTATTAGACCACCATGAGTGTATATTACATACAGTCCCTTTAAGTGTATTCCTTCATGCACATTGGTCTGGTAAGTAGAACAGGTGTGATTATAACCGACCTGACGTCAGTGATGATGACCAGATGCTCACAGTCTCCTTGATGACAGTACAGGTATGGGTAGCCCACTTTCACTTCCAGGTCCTGGAAGCGTGTGTCTTCCATTTTTGCTTGGGTGAATGTTGGGAAATTCCGACTCTTTGCCCATTCAATTGTTGTGCTAAACGAAGGAAACAAAACACACACAAAAACCAAGCATACGCAGTCAATAAAGAAAGGAAAAATATAGCAACTCCTCCCTGTGGAAGTTAGCTTTAAACTCCACATAAAGCTAAACGTCATTCAAAATCGGCAATATTATTTATTATATCTGTTGTTGTTTGCATCCGACCTATACACTAGAACCACAAGAATTTAACTTTGAAATGGTTTGACGTAGTTGAGCGCTTGTTATTCACTAGATAAACCAACATGTCAGACTCGGAGTCCGGTGCGGTTGGAAAAGAGAGATCAGAAAAAACACTTGATTGATAAAACTGTAAAACGATGTACTCAAACAAAGGAAAAATGCATAATGGACAGGAAAATATCAACATCGACTGTTCAAGGGCGGCACAGTGACGCAGTGGATTGCACTTGTGCTTTTCACACCTTACTGTGAGGAGTTTGCATGTTCTCCCCGTGTCTGCTCCGGTTTCCCCTACCACTAAAAACATGTACAATAGATGAGGATGCACACTAGCTACAATCTGGTGTATTTAAAGCTTATGCTGTTAAGGAATACATACTGTCCCATCCAAATAAACAGATAAATACAAATACAGAAGAGCCACTCAACGTCCAACATTTATGGCAATTGCTTATAAGCTGTTGCAAAGTACTTACAGTGATATGAAAAGGTTTGGGCAAACACTGATGTATGAGAAGTGAAATAAACTTTATATAATTTACAGAATATGTGCAAGAATTATTTAAAATAAATTAGGCATGTTTTATATCAAATCACAAATGTTCAAGAATAATAAGGTCTGGGGACAAAGATGGCGATTCCAGAAAGTTGTACTTGTTCTTCTGCATGAATGCCTATAATCTTCCAATTCCTCACAATGTTCTTAAATCTCTGATAGCTTTTTGTATCCTGGTTCAATGTTTATTAAGTCCACCTAACAAATGGAGTAAAATAGAGTGGTCCAAAAAAATTCACCCCCCTCAGCATTGACACACATGTGGAACGGAGCTTTGGGCCAAGAGCCAACTTTTGGTCCATCCTGTAAAGACGTTTTTGAGAAGTCTGCCAACTCTATATGTTAGCATTGGCTAATTCTACTTCTGGGTCCACCCCCACCGCCCCGGGGTGGTATTGCAGCATGTCAGCGCACGTCATTTTGGCCACTTTTGAGCCGGGACTCGTCCCCACTGGTCCTGAACAGTAAAGGAATAATCCAATATTATCTTATAGCTGTGTGTGGGCTGGTTCTAATACTAATCAAATATCATCCCGGGAGCAAAGATAATTAATATGTGGGTCGGATCTGGCCCCTGGGCCTCGACTTTGACAGCCATGCGCTGAACCATGATGTTGAACAATTTTGGTTTTTAGGTCATTTGAGAGTAGTTCTGATGTTTCCTCTCTTCAGAGAAGATGAAAAGAGGGCGAACACGTAGAATTGGCTTAAATATCCTTTATCAAGATTGGATTCACCTGTGTATGGAGGTCAAAGGTCAGTGAGGTTACAAGACTAATTTTGAGTTCCAAAAATTAGTGCTAAAGATATTAGAAATAAAATAAGTGTGCCTAAAATTATGCACGTGCCTAATTTGGTTTAAATAGTATTTGCACTTGTGTAAATCATACAAACTTTATTTCACTTCTTAAATATTACAATGTTTGTCTCTTAAGAAATGTCTTATTCAAACAATCAATGCTTTGTAAAGAAAAATCATACAAATTGTTAGAGATGCAATTGTACATGCCACAATCAGAAACATTCTTCTGAAAAACGAGCTCAACCGGAGCCCTCGGAGGAAACCTACGCAAACACGGGAGAACATGTAAACTTCACACAGAAAGGCCTGGAGGTGGAACTACACCAAGGACCTTCTTGCTGTGAAGCACAAGTGCCATCCACTGTGCCAGAAAGATGCCCGTATGGTTCTGATTCTTCCATGAACATCAAGACCAAGACTGGGTTTGACCTCCACAGTCGCACGCAGATGCAAGAATAGACGCACTCATGTGCTGGTTCTGCTGCATGTGCCGCAGACATCAGGACCGGGGTTGCCTCGCTATGAGACCCCCACATATAAGCACAGTATAGATCAGCAGCAAGTCATCGCACACCAAATCTTTTTACCAAAGCTTCGAGGCAGAGTTTTTGCCTCTAAGAACGATAGCAATCATTTTAATAGGAACTTGAGGAATCATTGTAGACCTACAATCAGCCCTGATGAGGACAAAATACCAAAAATAGCCTCCATCTCTTATTATTTCTTACCAAGAAATAATGTTGAGACATTTTGTGAAGAATTCACAACCGTTTCATCCACCCATTTGTGCGAGCGGTTATGGACTGACCCAGACTTTGTTTATATGGACTGGCACAGACTGAAGATAAGAATTGTCCTCATATCAGATCTTGACAAACCATGAATCCGTGTTCTTAATATGCATGGGTTTTATCACTTCTCCCCGCGTGATGCAACTGAAAAATATTGATTTTGATGTAGTTTGGAGGATGACAACTGCCAACATATTAAATGAATGAAGTTCACCACGGCCAATGATTATTAAGATATCCCTAAACTTTGAGATAAAAAAATATATGTTATTATTATTATAATCATCAAACAACTGCTTTGTGCTAAAAGAAAATAGAAAGATATGGCCTATTTTTTGTATTACTTAATTCAATCACTTTTAATCATTTTCCGTTTATGTTCTACATGCTTATAAATCCCTTGTGTGATTTCAATGTTTGTTTTGAACAATCTATGTGATCTTAAAGTTAGTCTTTAAGGCCCTGTTTTTAATGTTTATAATTTTTTCTTTACGTGTTAGGGTCTGTGAAGCACTTTGTGTTACTTTGGGTAGGAAAAAGCGCTCTACAAATAAGGGTTGATTGATATTTTTATTCAATCTTTATCTTGATCTTGATTTATCTTGGTTATTCTTTTTTCTTTAAGAGCAAAAAAGACATTTATCATTAATATACCGACATTATTATTATTATTATTATTACTACTATTATTATCATCATCACCAAATTTGTAGGCATATCTTAAACATTTTTTGCCAATATGCACTTTTATATAGTTATGTATTATTTGGGCACTTTTGGTCAGTTTTGGTCCTCCATACTTGAGGACGATCAGACTTACATACTAATATCCTGGCACTCTGGGAAACGCATGTCGTTGTAGAAAACTCCTTCGAAAAAGAAGAAGGCAGACTTGAAGTGATCCTAGAGGAGACAGATGAGAACTTGTAGACTTGTAATTGAACACATGACTTATACATTCGGATACCCACTTTGCTCAAAAAGTCTGGAACCGTGTCAGGATTGTTGCTGAACTCCCCGCAGACCTGCAAGTCGCTGACACAGCAGATGGCGTCCCGAAGCTCGGCCAATGTGTGTGATCCGGTCATCAGGAAAGTCATGTACGGTCTGACCTTGAACTGCCAAGAGAAAAATTATCATTATTATTCAAGCGTCTAATTCAGGGGTTCTCACCCATTTTTGACGGGAACATAGTTACTGCTTTTGATTTTATATTTGAATGTGGAAAGGATGGAGCATGAGGGCACGGTCACATAGGTTTTTACAAACGAACTAGGCCAAGTGGCCTGGATCGTCGCCACAGGGGTATGAAAATGGCCCGCAGTCACATGAACGTGTCCTCTGAACCTTGCCGGAGCAACTTTTCTGTAGTACGACGCCCGGTCCAGCTGGTGGCGCTAATAATAACTTCAGCGACTACCTGGTTGTCCGAGTTGAGGTTCCGCCTCTTCCTGTTTACATTCTGCTACTGCAGCTTGCAGGCTCGAGCATGCAACGCGTTGTTTGCATCAGAGCAATGTGAACAAGTGTGAGATATGCAGCGGTGGGACACGTGTGTGCGAGCGCGCCGCAGACACGGGAGCGCGCCTTTATAGTAACGAGTGTAAAGCGCTGAGAATGAATGAATGAAAATGAAAGACAGAAAAGTGTGGCGTATGAGCAGATATGGATATACGTGTGTGTGTGTTGGTGTATTCTGGCGATTAAATAAAGACTGATTCTTGAATGTCTGAAATGTTATTGCAATAGCACCACACTGAGAGCGAGGGTCAGGACAGAAGGGAGTCATTCCCGTAGGAAACGCTTTTCTTTGGCCCTGGAGCCACACACTCCCCAGTGCCCCTCGACCACGGTCCGCTGGTTTTCATGAAAGGTTTAGGGTTAACTGGATAGGGTATTACTTGCTTATAGGTGTCCCACCAATGGGCACATTGGTGGGACTGCATACTAAAAAAACTAAAACAGCTCGACCTCAGCTGACAGAGAACCTACAGCTTTCATAAGGGTTGGATTGAGTGTGGATTATAGTTTCCCTTGTCATCCTGAACTTTTTTTCTTGTTGCTTCCTTCGGATTTCTATGAATCTACACATTAATGCAACCAACTTTGCTTTTGTTTGGCTCCCGCTCTAGATCCACTCTGATCAGCAGCTGCTGATTGGTCAAAGCGCAGCTGAGCCCCTCTGTGCACGTGCATGAGAGCCACACACCCACATTTGGTGCAACGCATCATGGGAGCTCATCCACTGCGCAGAACCGGGAGGACCAGACAATGCCCGAATATGGGCGAGTTCCACTAATCTTTCGGTCCCCATGTATGTCCCATGCCCTCCTGAGCACAAGCCATTGACTTGAATAGGGCGCCATCTTGGATCACCGGGGCTTGAGGCAAAAATCATGGAGGACATTGGTACTCTGTTAGTTCACTCCTAATATGTAGTCTATGGGCCAAATATGATGTGTACATGATGACCTATTATCTGGTGAAACATTCAAACATTCTTGAGTTTAAATCTAAAGTCACCTCCCTGATATTGGCTTACTTTCTCAAAAACAGCAGCATAGAACACATTGATAGTTAGAAGAACCTCTCCTTCAGGGATCAGGTGTTCCACTGCCTCAGGTTTTCTTTCAACCGTAGCTCGTTCCTGAAATTCAAAAACACTCTTTCTCAGAAACAGTGTGAAAAAAAATGGCAGATAGTAGATTGTGTTTTCATAAGCCTCCTCACCAGCTCATCGGCATAATGCTCGTGTCTGTTCTTGCTGCATTTATGTGTGCTTCTGTAATCTTGCCTCTTTTTACGTTGTCTGTTGAAATGGAAGGGAAAGAAACATCATATAGAAGAAATTAAAAGGTTAAGATATACAAGTGAAACTTTGAAAATTAGAATATTGCTCAAAAGTTAATTCATTTCCGTAATTCCACTTATAATTTGAATCCAATATATGATATAGTCTCATTACATGCACAATATAAAAAAATACAGGCATACTGAGTTGGTCATATATTAGTTATACAGAGTCAGGGGAATTACCAATGGGCTTTTGGACGATATTCTAAATGTTCAGAGTGGATGGAAAAAAAAAGAATACTATACATCAAGGTACTTAGTGTCGAATCGTCAGGCACAAGATCCGTGTCGGGCTGCTCATCTTTGGGGTGGCAAAGAAGAGAGTCCACACTGAAAACAGAAGCAGGAATGTGATGTCACACAGCTGTCACTCACTTTTACAGACCCATGTGTTGCTTTTCCGGCCCGCAACCTGCTCGTATCACAAGTGCTGGGCGATCACCATTCTAATTTAAAACGTTTTAAACTAAATACAGATACTTCTGAGTTAAATAAATAATATATATAGTGCATCAACAATAGAGAAATTTTTATTTTTTGTGTGTGTCTTTTTTAAGCAATACTGATCTTTAGGAGTCTTCTTCAGCTAATTACCAGTTCATCATGTGATTTTGTTTTGCCCTAAAACATGCTTGTTATATTTTAAAGGAATACAATATTTTTTCAGTGTAAGTCAGTCGGAGCCTGAGTGAGTTGGAGCAAAACTTTGTCCAAGAGCACTTTGGGTTTCCATCCATATACAGTGTATGCTAATATGAACTAATATTGCCCCTTTGCAATTTTTCTGATCTGAGAATTGGTAATTTTATTTTTTCAACAACTGTATCATTCAGAAATAAATCACCCTAGAAATGTGGACAATTTTCAAGAAGACTACAGAATGAAATGACAATTAAATTTCAACATTTCAGGACATGCAATTGATAAGGCAGCTATTTCAAAACAATAATTTTGCCTGATTTTAGATCGAAATGTATTAAGTCATTTAGCTACTACATTACTATAAGATTTCTATGTGAAGAGACGGATACTTAAAACAATTGCATTCTTTTTCAGTCTGAAAAGCTGATCTCAAAGATGTGAAAAGTGAAGACTAGTGATAAAACCCAACTGTTTTGAAAGTGAGGTACTATCATTAGAATTTGATCACATACTTACTGAAACTTGGGTACAACAACTGTTTCCATATAGAAATAGAAAAACAGTCCAACCCTTCAGACTGGAGTCACTTATCTTTAAAAAGTGATATGTTTTAGAGAACTACTGTATGTTCTATTCCAAAAGGGCATCCCTTATTGATTGCATATTTTTAGTTGATAGATGATTAATGCCATATGGTGAAACTTTACAGAAGCAACGTCAAGCCATTCGTTGAGCAAATACATCAGTTTGTTCACAAGAGAAGTTGCTGTCTCCATCAGGCAAGCCATTGTACACATTACTAAAATTATGTAACACTTTAAGCCTTGTCGTGCCAACTAACAGCTTTAACAGATCACATGTCCCATGGGGAGTAAAGCAAATGGACCAAAACCGTCTAGTGGTGAGCTATTGAGTTGAGGACTTTACACTTAACAGCCACATCAAATCTGTAATATCAGCAGATTATTACCATCCATAAACATTGCCAGAATCAAAAGGTATACTGTGTGAAGTAAACTTCTCATGCATGCATTGGTCTCAACGGCCAGCTCACTGGGCTCTCCAAACGAGCTGAATATATTCAAAACGCTGCAGCTTGAGTGCTGTCTAGAACCAGGAATTAAGAAAGTACACATTATGTACACATAAGTTTGAGCTAAAACTTATGTCTCACATTAATCCTGGTTTCTGGTCCCTGTCCTGAAGTCCCTTTACATTAGTCCTGGTCTCAGGTCCCTGCACTGGCTTCTCTGGTTGTGCATACAGTGCCTTGCGAAAGTATTCGGTCCCCTTGAACCTTTCAACATTTCGCCACATTTCAGGCTTCAAACATAAAGATATAAAATTTTAATTTTTTGTCATGAATCAACAACAAGTGGGACACAATCGTGAAGTGGAACAAAATTTATTGGATAATTTAAACTTTTTTAACAAATAAAAAACTGAAAAGTGGGGCGTGCAATATTATTCGGCCCCTTTACTGTCAGCATCTCACCTCAAATTGCATTAAAAGTGACATTCGTGTCTTAATTCGTTCGTATTTCAACTTTTAAAGCAATTCACGGTCCGCCATCTTGGTTTGCTTCGGCTGCCGTGAGACGCGCATGCACAGGTTTGCATTACATCATAAACAGCTGAGGCAGTGCATCTCTTCAAGACAGTGTATCTCGGCGTTACACCGGGCCACACGGATGCGGAGGGCTGCAGGGCCATGCGGACTGAATCCTCGATCACCGGTCCAGGACCAGTCCTGCCCGCTGCAGTACATGTCGTACCCCAGAGCAGGCCTCTTGGCTGCTAGGGGCTTAGGCCACTCACGTGTCGGGTAATGGACGAACGGGTCCATCCGCGGGCACAACGTGGGTTGCATCCTCCTCCTTCCTCGAGTGGTGGGACCCACAGAGGTGAAGTCCTCCACCGTCTGGATCCAGCGACGACGTCCGACGCCGGAGGGCGAAGGGAACTCGGACGAACAAGGAAGAAATCTCAGAATGAAGTAAGTACTGTGGTAGATCTCAAACGGCGCCAGAGTGAAAAAGGGGGTGCGGCCTTGTGCAGGGGCCTTTATAGAGGAGGGTGGCTGGTGATTGGAGCAAATTATTTTGATCTCTCTGGCGTGTGACCTGGGGGTCACGAGTGATATCCCACTAGCGAAGTCCTAAGGGACGTAGCACCATGACGTAGAACAAGTTGATCGATTACTCATGAATAATTGAGTAAGTAAATAATTTAGTCATATATTAATCGAATTTTGATTCTTACATAGACTTAAAGATGCTGAGAAGAGATTTTATGACTCATAAGTCGATAATGACTTCAGAATGAAAATAATTTTAAATCAAGCAACATTGCAATAAAGAGGTTCTCCATCACTTTTGGTAAAAATCATATTCTTTGAACTTTCAGATGATCAACTAATCATCCACTAATGTTCACAAGTATAATTGGCCTGCTAATTGATTATTAAAATAAGCATTATTTACAGTTTCTGTCTGTTCCATAGTTAAAATGTTTCATTTGTGCCATCATGTCTGACGTTCCATATTTTCGCCCCATATTTTCTTCCTGACGCCGGGAACCAGCAGGAGCTCAGTTTCTGTGATCCTCAGGGTCCCAGCAGGAGGCCAGTCCAAGCAGCAGGCCTGTCTTAGAGTTGAGTAGGTTCATCTTGGCGCTAAGATGTCACAGATGTACATTGGTGAGAGGACATGGAGAGACTTACAGTGCCTTGCGAAAGTATTCGACCCCCTTGAACCTTTCCACATTTCGCCACATTTCAGGCTTCATACATAAAGATATACAATTTTAATTTTTTGTCATGAATCAACAACAAGTGGGACACAATCGTGAAGTGGAACGAAATTTATTGGATAATTTAAACTTTTTTAACAAATAACAAAACTGAAAAGTGGGGCGTGCAATATTATTCGGCCCCTTTACTTTCAGTGCAGCAAACTCACTCCAGAAGTTCAGTGAGGATCTTTGAATGATCCAATGTTGTCCTAAATGACTGATGATGATAAATAGAATGCACCTGTGTGTAATCAAGTCTCCGTATAAATGCACCTGCTCTTTGATAGTCTCAGGGTTCTGTTTAAAGCACAGAGAGAACCATGAAGACAAAGGAACACACCAGGCAGGTCCGAGATACTGTTGTGGAGAAGTTTCAAGCCGGATTTGGATACAAAAAGATTTCCCAAGCTTTAAACATCTCAAGGAGCACTGTGCAAGCAATTATATTGAAATGGAAGGAGTATCGGACCACTGCAAATCTACCAAGACCCGGCCGTCCCTCCAAACTTAATCTCAAACAAGGAGAAGACTGATCAGAGATGCAGCCAAGAGGCCCATGATCACTCTGGATGAACTGCAGATAACTACAGCAGGGGTTGATAATGGAAAATGGGGAAAAAAATCAATCTAATTAAATATTTTGTTTGAACACACTATTGTTAATCATATTAAATACAGTACGATACATGTATTGAATGAAATTTATTATTTACTTTATCAACCCGACAGACCAGTGTAAGAGTGTAGAGTTGCCACAGGACGCGTCATCAGCCTACGTCAGCAGCCGCGGACTGCTATGAAAACATTAGCTTTGTGGTTTCACAGGCGCAGTTGACTGCTTAAACTAAACTTTGCACAAAACTTTGACTCTTAAAACCCACATATGACAAAACGGAACCATCAACATCTCGCCTCAAATTGCATTAAAAGTGACATTTGTGTCTTAATTTGTTCGTATTTTCACTTTTAAAGCAATTCACGGTCCGCCATCTTGGTTTGCTTCGGCTGCCGTGAGACGCGCATGCACAGGTTTGCATTACATCATAAACAGCTGAGGCAGTGCATCTCTTCAAGGCAGTGTATCTCGGCGTTACACCGGCACCAGACCTCTCCTTCCCTCCGAGCGGGCCAGGATGTCTTGCCGATGCTGGATAGATATTATGCCAATGCGGCACAGGTCGTCACATTGGCTAACGACATGACATTCATCACGGGGGCCCTGGATAGGTCGCTCTCCTCTGGCCAGGCGCTCAGTGGAGACCTCCTGTCACAGGCGAGAACCACCTCGGCGGCGATCCTGCGCATGTGCCAGACGCTAGCCGTGGATGGTGGCCCTGACACCGAGGATTCAGTCCGCATGGCCCTGCAGCCCTCCGCATCCGTGTGGCCCGGCACCAGACCTCTCCTTCCCTCCGAGCGGGACAGGACGTCTATGGCTATGCTGGACAGATGTTACGCCAATGCGGCACAGGTCGTCGCTGTGGCGAATAACATGGCCTTCATCACGGGGGCCCTGGATAGGTCGCTCTCTTCTGGCCAGGCGCTCAGTGGAGACACCTTATTACAGGCAAGGACCACTTCAGCGGCGATCCTGCGCATGTGCCAGGCGCTAGCTGTCGATGGCGGCCGCTCCATGGCAGCAGCTCAAGTCGGGGCCAGGCACCTTTGGCTTGGGCTAGCTAACATCAGAGAGGCGGAGAAGAGGCAGCTGCTGGACCTGCCTGTTTCTCAGACGTCCCTCTTCGGTCCGGACATGCAGACCCTGGTGGCTAGACTGGAGACCGCAGCCAAGGACTCGGCTAGCCTAGCCCAGCACCTAGCGCCGAGGCGCGAGGCCCGCCCACCAGCGCGGAGGCGGGACCCCCGGGTCCAGACAGACCCACGGGAGGCTCGCG